ACATTCTCAACCAAAGTTAGTTGACAACACATTACAAGTATTTCACAACGTAAGTAACACAGCTTAATTCATCCACCAACTAGGATTCCAATGTTCATTGTTATTCTAAAAGCTCTATTTTAAAATACGGTAGTGTTAATCTTAATTTCAGCACTGCTTCTTCCTTCTTCCCTATACAACTCTCGTTTGTCACTCTATTTTTTTCAATATTGTAATGTCAATAAATTCTATGCTGCTGTCTGCTGAGAGTAAATTTTTTAATACTATCAACATTTAATAAGCTTGCATAGGTTTGCTTCATAAAGCACCTTTATCCTATGGCTATACTATTCATAGGAACCCACAGATAACAGGAGTGGAAACAGTATGAATGCGGATGCATATTATAGCCCGAATGGCGACAGTTATGTGTCAGAACGAACACAAACCAGAGAAGCCTATCAAGATCCCCTCATCACAACAGAGACTGTCATCGGAGATGATGGAGTTGAAAGAACTATAACGGTAGGAAAATATATGATATGGTTTGTGGATGTTGCCTGTCATTGTTGCTGTATTTTGCGTAAAATTGATTATCGATATAGCAAGACAACAGTGCTCAAATATATGCACATGAAGATAAAACGACTTATATAGACACCGCAATGTCCAAAAAAGTTCAGAACAAAAAAGATGTGTACTTCAATAACTTTGAAAAAGAATAAAGTACTTTTGTCCACCTTTTATTAATACTGAAAAATATAATTAATAAGTTCATGGTTTGTGGAGGGAAACAATTTTTTTCCAGCAACAACAACTATGAAAAGCGATTCGTAGGTCCAATTTTTGTACGAAAAACCTAACATCGTAAATGACGGATTGAGTGTGTGCTATGCCATTTTTAAGCATGTTTTGTAACTTTCATCAATGGCTTTATCCGTTCTCTAGAAAAAGACAGTGACAAAGACAGTAACGACACATACAACAAGACAAATAGAAGATTATGAACATGGAAGTTTACCTAGAAGCGACTTGTCAAGGTAACCCTTAGATTTGAGATTAATAGACCTATTATATATTAATATTTTTACAAAATAACTAATGGGTTGATTAAATAGGATTTATTCTGTAAAATTTCACCCACTCCAATTTTTTACTATGATTCTAAGAATATCATTTTTGTTTTATCCCTTAATGGTAGGTATAGCTCTCATTCACTTTTCTTGTACAATAATTGATATATATCTTTCTTTTTTCAGGCCACAGGACTCTTATAGATCACAGCAAAGTCCAACATATTCTGATAGAAATCATAGAAGTCCAACAAATGAAGAATCAAGGCTGTTAAGAGAGTAAGAACTGTCTTTTCTAGCTTTTTATCATGAAATGTTAAACATAAAGTAAACCAAAGCTATTTTTTTCTGCTGAGCTTTTAAACCGGCAGGTTCCCTATGTGCAGTTCATGACCGTTCGACTACTGAGACCAGATTTATTCGTGTTTATCCTCGTCATATTATAGGATCGAAACTGGGAATTGATTTTTCCATTCTTATGATATTGAAGAGTTTACATTGCTCATAGATACCAGTTGGAAATTGGAATCTGTTGCTATACTTATTTTTTTATAGGTCCTAGTTCCCGCTCTCTCTACTTGGGCCTGCATAAAGATTTAATCGAAACTTTACTTAGCGTTTAACTTATTCTGTATGTGTAAAACTTTACTCAATTTGAATCTACTCTATTACAGGCCTTCTTCAGAGAGTAGTTCGAACAGTGACCTTCGACCTGGTAGCCACGATGCTCCTGTCGGTTACACTCGTCACATGGAGAATAACTATGACCAGAGAGATGAACCGAGACAACTGACTCCTGAAAAATTTCAGCCTGAAGAATATGGCCTTGAAGATGAAAGGTAGAATCTGGTTATATTGTCATTAATTTGTCATGCTGTGATTATATTTTAGAATCTTAATCATTATAGGAATCATACTTTATGATTTTCTAAATTGTTGTAATAGGTAGAAAGATCATTGTTTATTATAAATGTAGTATATTAAGTAAAATTTGCTTGTAATATATCAATACTTTGAGGAGTTTATTAAAGCCGAGGCGTGCAAATTATGGCCTGCGGGTCGGATGTGGTCCAACGAAGTATTTCATCCGGCCCATTTGTTCCTGCTAAAATTACAGCTATAGTTTTTATGCATATAAATTTGCGTTGAAAATATTGATACAAAATAACATGACAAAACACAATGACCCCGGTTGTTACCTTGTGCTTCTTATCATATAATCGTAGGCCTACTGTCCGCACCCTGCCGAGTAACTTAGTCTATTATGCGTAACTGGCCCACTCAGGAAAGTAATTGCTCACCACTGTATTAGAGCTCTGATGTATATATTTTAAATAGCAATTAGCAAGTTCAAAGCCTGATCAGATTGTTCTTTTGCACAATACCACTATTTTATATTGGAATTTGAGGCATATGAATTTTTACTGTGTCAGATGTTAAATGCAGCTATGCAGACAATTTTATTTCTGACCAACGAAGGTCAAATTCCTAAAATACACAAATCTAGAAAAATTTGTCGAAATTTGCCAAATATTAGAATATTCTATAGGTTTCAAACATCCCTGATTTTATAGGATGAGGATGATGCCAATTTGTGTTTAAACTGATACGCTGTTTGTAATTTAGCGCCATGCTGTTTTCTAATTAGTAACAAATTAACTATTAATTATTGTAACGCAGTCAGCTCGAATTTTGTTGTGTCATGCTTGAGAGAGATTTAATGAGCTGCTATTGAGCGAATATTTATTCTTCACTTCTCACTTCGCTAAAGAACTAAAGAACGAGGGATAATTTAATTCAAAAGCTCAATACATGGGCAATCACTTTTGCTATAATGTCAGACATTTATTTGCCTATTGTCAATATGTCCATGTATTGGTAGCGGTAGAAATCACCCTTATTTCATCAGGAAGGCGATATCAATTGTTAGACTGTGCTGTGTCAAAAAGTTAGGAGAAAGATGCTTTGCTCTTTTTGTGACTAAATAAAGGTGTTCATGCTTGAGCGACCACATGAATAATAACAGTATATATTAAAAATTGACATACTAGTTTACTGCTACTACTACAAAATTTGATGGATTGAGTTTCATTTTCTCAGGCGAAGTGACTACGAAGATGACAATGATGGCTATGGTCTCGATCCAGTGGGCAGAAGAGATTATGATGGCGAATCATCACGCTCTAGTACCCCAAGGCACAGGTATGGGTCTATTATTATATTGTTGATGTATGAATTTTCGTTTAAAAATAATTGAGTACCCCAGGGCTCAGGTATGGGGCCGTTATTTATATTGTTTATAATATTCATTCAAAAAAAACTATTCATTTTTCAATATCACATATATAAAATAAATATTTCTACCTGATCTTTGCCTACCATTATTTACCTGTAAAATATTATGAGACTAAAGAATTCCACCTTTGGTGAAATACAAATGTTTGCTTATTTTGGTAATTATTGAGTACCCCAAGGCACAGGTATAGGACCATTATTGTATTATTTATTGTTTTTTTTTTCAATTCTATGTTAGACAATCACCAAGATATGATCCAGCAGCTGAACTGCGAAATGAGACTCCGATTGCCGCCCCCAGAAATCCACCACGAGCTCCACGTGCAGAAATGGAAACTGGAAGTCAAGCAAGCTTAGACAGGTTTGTTAACTATTTATTGCTTATGCTTAGTGATATAATATTAAGGTGAATCATAGAAAAAAGAAGTCATGCTTTGAATGATAGTATAAAATTACTTTATTTCTCAATACTATCAATTTTGTATTTTTTCTAACCAAATTCTCAGATATTTCTGTTATACCTGTAACTGTGTTTTGTTTAGGTTGGGCCACCCCTCGGACTGGAGAAGACCAGAATTGAAAGAAGTCATCAGAATGTTGAGCTACCCAATAGACGTTGTGCAATTAAATGCAGCAGCCTATCTTCAACATCTTTGCTTCAATGATAATAACATCAAGGCTAATGTCAGGAGGCTGGGTAAGGAGTCGAGGATATTTATTTTATTTTAGTAGAATCTGGTATGTGAGCCGAAATGGTTAGATCTTGTTAAATTCTCAAATTTGTTTATGCGATTCTCATTCACTTCTCTTGCATCGAACAAGCCTTGTATGATCAGCCATGGATATCTAACGAGCTCTTATTTTTGGAAGGACTTATTCTTCTGGTTCTGTATTGCCTACTCAATTTATTACACTTTTTTCTAATAGTACAATATTTTTCCAGATGGTATTCCACCTCTCGTGAGACTTCTCGATCATGCCAACCCAAAAGTACAACTGAACGCCTGCGGAGCTCTGCGTAACTTGTGTTACGGCCCGCAAAACAACGACAACAAAATTGCTATAAAAACCTGCGAGGGAGTACCCGCTCTCGTCAGAGTTGTAAGAGAATGCAAGGACCCTGATGTCAAAGAACAAGCGACTGGTATGTCTACTTCTGTAGAGTTAAAGTGTACAGTCCTACAATTCTATGCTCATATAAATTGAACATTACTAGCCTTTTTCTGCATTTACGTAACACCTCACAGCAGTATTGTATTTATAAACTCTCTTGAAATGATTTTTCTGAATAATGGGCTCAAATTGTTATGCATCTCTTTTTTGTTTGCATAACGATTGAACATTCTGCTCCATACAGGGCCTTGTACTAACAGTCACTGATTCCTAAAGTTATTTAAGTCGCTACCATTTTGGGAAGGAGCGAGATCTTTTCAATTCAGCATTGCTTACAACTTGGTGCATTGGTGGTAGTTAGACTTGAACTCGAGACTACCTGACCGGTGATATGTAGAGAGATTAACAATAAATCACCAAACTATAATATTCACATAATTAGGTCTGATGCAGCAACTGCTAACCCATCCTTCAACCAGTTTCCTTTCTGAAATTCTCTATTCTATGAATCTTACTCCACATCATCAAGTTTCTATCTTCCACACTTTCCAGGTACATTATGGAATTTATCTGCGCACAAGGACCTGAAGGGACAAATTTTAGAATTGGCCATGGAACCACTGGCAACCTTTGTTATCATTCCATATTCTGGATGGCAGGAACAACAAAGCACTAAACCAAAGAAAGTTGATTTACCAGATATTCTCACCAATGCTCTCGGAATTATCAGGTAAGCTTTTGGGTATAAGAATAGTCAGTCGATCAAGTCAAAATTTTTCTTGTTTAGCTGGATTTAATGACAATATGCAAATAATCATAAAAATGAAATATATCTTGTGCTATCCTATGGCCAAACTACGGCCCTCGGGCCAAATTCGGCCCGTTGGGTAATTCAGTCTGGCGCGTCTAATGCAGCCACCACCAAACTAAAACCAAATTTTGATATTTTTCAATAAAAAAATACCTCGAGGAATTTGGTGAAATTGTGATTGAATTTAGTTTTGGCACGAGGCTTATGTACCATATGATCACCAATGTGCCTAACACTTGACATGGTGTGCCAACCATCAGTCTATGACTTACTAGGGTTAGTTGTAGTTATTAATGTTCCGAATAAATTTTCAGGAATTTAAGTTCACACAACAGCCCTGAATACAGAAAGCGTTTGAGAGGGTGCGATGATTTGATCGATGCCATTGTTTATTATTTGAGAATGAACATCGAAAAGGAAGAGACCGCTAACAAGGTAGAAAAATTGTTGTTATTTCCAGTAATTCAATTATATCATTTCTAGTCGAATTGGTTAGACTGAAATATGCCTGTGAAGCAGAAAATTGAAATTTTAGCTGAAATGCTTCATATATAACTCCCATCTTCTTTTTCTCTGCCCATGTGCATAGCACTGGGTTGAAAATTTTCTCAACTAAATTAATACTGATAACTAGTTATAACTCAGTCGAAGATAACGAATTCCATAACTCATTTTTTGCTGATGCCGCTATTTTAAGCTTCAATTAGAATACGCAAACACTTCTCCATTTTTTTTAATCACTTGTTCGTGAGTGCAGTTGCCTAGTGATGGTTGAAAGGGTTACCGCAACTTTGATAACATCTCAGGTTCAAATCCCATGCACACCACCTACCTACCTACCCCTGGGTGTGGTAATGCTTAACCGAAAAGATTCTGATCCTTCCAAACTATAGTATGTCATTACCTAGCAGTGGCAGCTACTACAGAGCCTCGTTTAGAGCAAAAGATTTTCAAATACGTTAAATATAAAAAAATATACATTTCAATGGCATTATAGAATTTTCATATAATTTGTTTCAGGGCACTGAAAACAGTGCTTGCATTCTGAGAAATCTGAGCTTCCAGTTATACATTGAAGCACCCGGTGCAGAACAATATAAAATTGAAGATGAAACAAAAGAACCTGAACAGGCGGACGTTTCTTGTTTTGGAAAAAAGAAATCAAAAGGTATTGGATATTCGAATATTTGTATAAAATGATGAATATAATGTTTTTTAAACTGAAATATAGAATGCCAGTGTGAAATTGAACGAGATTCTAAATAAAAGTGGAGTATGTAGAGCTTGCTATGCTAAAGCATAAAAAAATAAGGACTTGAGCTAAGAAAAAAGTAAAACTTGTTCAAAAATCACCATTATATACGTGACTTAGGAAAATTGTCGAATTAAGTATCTATCAATTAACTTTACTCCATATTGGTACTTTAGGATGATTTACAAAGTATTATATGATGCCCATACTATTTATATGAAGAATGTCTCACTTTAAGCTTTTATTGTTTGTATCCCCATCAAAAATCTTTTTAATATCCATTGCAGGGATGGCCAAAACTGTATTTATGTACCATCCGGAATACATTTTAAAATTATATTTTCAAACATGAAATAATGTAATTTTCTAATTTGGGTCATGTTTAAGTGAGAACACGTAGAAGCCAATGCATTTTCAATGAATGTGAATTCGAATAAATGGTGATTTGATAGGTTCATCATTTTTTAGTATTCAGAATTTTAATGATGGCCCTTTTTTGGCTTTACAGCGAGATTCGAATTTCATAACATGATGATATTCAAAATGAAACTATTCTAGATTATTCCTAAAATTCGAAATATCCAAATAATCAACTTGGTTATAGACTAATTTAAATCTTGCCGTCGAATCTAAACCTTAATTATTTTCATAGCTGAAGAAGGAGAGACCATTGATCAGATTCCACCTGCTGATTCCAATGCAAGAGGTCATGAAATATTATGGCAACCTGATGTTGTTTCTCTCTATCTATCTCTTCTTAACACATGTGTAAATCAACCAGAAACATTGGAGGCGGCGGCTGGAGCTGTTCAAAATTTAACACATGGAAATTGGCAGGTAAGAAATGTCTACTTTTATTCTAACTTAACATGGATTTTGACATTGTGGTATAGTAATTTGAGGATAAGCACACTTATCTTATGATCAGTGCTATAGCTATACCAGAGGAGGCCAAGAATATTGGACCATGGGTTTTAAATTTTGCCCACCTAGACAGGCAAGCCATGTAAGTGTGTGACGTAGAAACTTACATTTCATGAACAATATTTACAGTGTTACAAAAGCAAAAGTGGAAAACAATAAACCTCTTGCCAAAACTAAATGTAATCGCAATCTCAACTAAATTTCTTGTGCTATTTTTAGCTAAAACATCAAAATTTGGTTTTAGTTTGGTTGTGGCAGCATCAGGTGGGCCGGATTTGGCCCACGGGTTGCAGTTTGTCCATGTCACAGCTATACTCATCAGCGTGGTGATGGCCTGTCGTTAAAGTATCGGTCTTATACAGATCCCAATTTAAACCTCATTTCAATGCAGAATCGGAAAGATTTGGTTACTTCAGAAAAACGGTAGCTCGTCACATATCTGGTTCCTTTTTTCAGCAAGGAAATGTGAAAATAAAAAATTGGATAGAAACCCACCTGTATCTTAGTATACTTTCTTCCCAAACCTTCCTTGTTCAGAGAAAATAGAATCCATTAAAATATATATTTACTATTAGAATGCAGGTGAAATTTCAGTTGCTTTCTCTCTTTCACCTATCTTCCTTTCCCAGTTAATTGTTCTCTTATTTACTTGTTTAGAGAATAGTAAACGAATGTTGTTGTTTTTTTATTTCAGTGGGCCCTCTATGCTAGAGCTGTAGTTCGTAAAGAAAAGGGACTCCCAGTCCTCGTCGACAGGCTAAGGACTGATAATGACAGAGTTATAAGAGCTGTTTCAATTGCTTTGACCAATCTTGCACAAGACCACAAAAACAAAGATTTAATTGGTAAGATTGAGTAATATTTATTTGTTTTTATTATTTATATCTCAACAAATGATAATTCTGTTATAAATTGGAAAATTGTGGGTGCTCCTGAAGTATGCGTACCAAGATGGCCGACACCAGAACGTAGCATGTGTACGAGGTTAGGGTTAGGCCATAATTTGATTCCAATTTTCCTTATTTTAGTTCTATTACAAGTTCGGGACTAGCCAAGTGAATTTCGTAGTATTTGTATCTAAAATTATGGCCTAACCCTAACCGGGTACACGTACTACGTTCTGTTGTCCGCCTTCTTGGTACGCATACTTCAGGAGTACCAAATTGTGTAATGATAACGGCAAATCTCGAATAAGTTAGATAATGTACAGATTTCCTTCTCTCTGAAAAAGTTTAATAAATGCTGAAAAGTGTTTATCAAGAAGTTTGCTTTTGTCAAATTTAACTTCTTTCTTGTTGCTTTTCAGAGAATTCCTCAATCATACCTTATCTTATCATACTCTTATCTTTTAATCTTATCAGGAAAATATGCCATGAGAGATCTGGCATATAAATTGCCTGGGAGCACAGAATCTCAAACTGCTTTATCAGACCTGACATATATCGCTGTGCTCAACACAGTACGAGTCATAGTAGAGAGAAGTGCCACAAATGCTAGACATTTACGAGAAGCTGGTGGAATCGAACGTATCACGACAGTGAATAATTCAAGGTAGGTTCGGAGGAGAGTCATTTATAGCCAAGCATGGTCATTGATGGATCACGCCGCTAAGGCGTGGTCCATCAATGACCGTGCTCGGCTAAGCATAGTTTTCAAATTAACCGAAATGACTTATTTTCCTCATGGTTGCGTGACATTTTTCAGGGATGGAAAGTACCATCAAAGAGTTGTGAAAGCCGCCGGTCAAGTGCTGAAAGTGTTATGGGATATCAAAGAACTGCATTCCATGTATAAAAAGGATGGATGGAATAAAACACACTTCGTGCCAACTGTCACTGCAGCCACTCTTCCCAGAAGGTTAGCTAGGATAAAAATAATTTACGATTAGGAATACATTCTAAAAAAATAACATTTTTGAAAATCGAATAAATTCTAAATCCAATCCTGTTCACAAATTGATTGTAAATAGATAGAAATTGAATTTAGTGGTGCAAAATAGTTAAAACTAACATTGTTTCGACGGATTTTCTATTTTTCTTAGCTATTCAGAAGTTGAAATTTTATTTATTCTTTCTAATGTCTAGAATTCCTTATATTGAAAATAACCAATTTCAAATTGCCTTGGTCATTGGTATCTCTGATATTTCTGCTGGGTTTCTGGATTTTTATTAAAGCCTATTTCCAAATTGAATATTTTCTCCAACTGAACCTACTCAAATATTGTTGATGCTCTTGTAGATACTCAAATCGCTTGAGTTTAGTTTACTATTCTGGTATTTTGAATTATCCATCAACTGGTTCTATGGGAAATAAAAATATTTATAGAAATACATATCCTTTTTCTAATTTAGCCAAAAAGCACTGAACAATCGTCCATATGACGATGCTGTAGAAAGTGGCACTTTCCCAAGAAGAAAACAGGGGAACAATGAAGAATATGCCATGAATGAGGTACGACAATTTTGGTTTATGACATCTGCAATCGTGACAATTTGTTTATAGTGATCTAAAATTGGTTCTGGGAAATATTCACTTGGGAAATTCGCTCTTGGAATACAAACACGATTTCGAAATGAATGAATGACATACAGCTCTTGCGGAATATAAGTTATGTTAATTGAAGTACAGTAATCAATAATTGCTATAATTTAATGACAAAAATGGGTCAAATAGTCATTTTTCTACTATATATTCTGATATGTATGAGAACTTTGGTATCAAAAGAGTTTTGTTGATTTGTCTAATTTCAGGGTGTGTGGTACTTTATTCGGTACTCCCGTATTATGTGTACCAGGTTAGGGTTAGGCCATAATTTTATTCTGATTTTCCTTATTTTGGTTCTATTACGAGTTTGGTCTGTTTTAGCCCAGTGATCATCCCCTCCTGCCCATAGGTTTTAGTCCTTTTACACAACTTGATGTAAAATAGGCGAACGTTTAGAAAGTGCACTAATTTTTTTTTCTGTGCTTTTTTTTTCAGAAAAACAAATCGGCTGTGAACTCTGAACAAAATGAAGGACCCACTGATTCATGGGTGTAAGATGAAGGGGAAATAAACTAATAAGACAATAATATAAAGAACTTATCGTGATGCCACGAATAAAGCAATTGATAATAATAACTTATAATGTTACACAATAGGTTTTGTGTCGCAACGTTTTTCTACTTCTGCTGAGACAAGACTTTCAAAAAAGGTGCAAAAAACAATCTTGCATTTTGGTGCGCTGAAGATTATTTTTTCAACAAAGTCCTAATAACGTAAACAAGACTAATTTTCAACCATGAAACTGACAGAACTGATGAAAAATGGGCCAACCAATCTTCGTGCCTCGCTTTTTGCATTTGTAAAATTTTTATCCAATCGTGTCTATGCTAATGGGACATAGACACACTAGACATTTACAGTAATTGTATTATTTCACATTCGGATTTAGTCTGGATCATTTTTAAATCCAACTTATCAAGCTCGATTTATGCTTAATTATATGCTAACCAAGCTTGGTCTTATACTAAGTCGCACTTGGCTTGCTAAAAACATTCGTTCGAACCAACCATATATATTTATAGTCCTCAACATCATATCATTGTGTAGAGTTCTTTTGAATAGCATTATAAATTTCTAATAATTAGCCTATACGTAATTTTTAACACTTTCATAGCATATCTTAAATGCCATTATACCAATCGTCGCCAGTTTGGTCAATCCGCTCTATTTAATCACTAAATCTGAAAATGTTTTTGTACTTTATTAATTAATTGCGATTGATTCATTCATTTTGTGTGCCTTATTTGTTCGATTGGTATGATATGCGAAACTAAGAAAAAGGTTTTAGGATTTTTGAAAAAATGTACTGTTTTCTAACAAAATTTTTAACATTCTCATGTCGAGGAGAGACAGATAATGTATTTTTGTAAAATCGTGGTTTTTCACATTTGCATTTAACATTTTTTGTATCATATATTTGGAAAGTGTGCTTATGAATGAGGTCATCAACATAACCTAATATTACTGTAATGTCAATCAAAAAAAATTCTCGCACTGACCACGCTAGGCATCAGACAGAAATTCTCGACCATGGTTAGAATATTTACTTCGGATACAATGGCCATAATGTGAGCTTGGGAAATTTTCCGACAATGGTCATAATATTTACTCTGGACATTCTCGGCAATGGTCGTAAAAAAATTGGAAAATTCTTGACGACGGCCGTAATAATTTTTCATTGAAAATTCTCGGCAATGGCTGTAATATGCTTTGGGAATATCTCAGCAATGTCATGCTCTTCACGTGAACAATTCTCGGAAATGGTCATAATATTCTCTTGGGGAAGTTCTCGACAGATGTTTTAATAATCACCTGGAAAAATTCCCGGCAATGGTATTGATGTTCATTTGTAAATTTACATTAGATTCACCAACAATAATTGTGATCTCTAACATATACATTGTTATTTTATCCTGACTCAACCTATTGTGATTTTCAATTTTATTTTTGGCTTTTTTTGCTTTCATACAATGAATTGTGACGACATCTTGTTCTAGGAACATTTCTTATTTTTCATCAAATCATTAAATGAAATCTTAAGTTTATAGACTTGGACCAAAATATAGAAATAAATCCACAAACAATGGCTGAATCCCACAAGGTACTACTTTTATGCTAGAATGGTACAAGATATTTTCCATTTGTGCTCGCAAACACTGGTTCTGTACTTATTATATTCTGTAATGTTTTACTTTTGCGATGTTCTCATATTCAAACGGTGCTTATAGGTCCTAGTCTTCGCTTGCACATGGTGCTTTTCAATCGTATAATTTTTCCTAATAGAGTATGCTAGATTGGCTGTATCAAGCATCGATTTTGCTTCATCTCGTAATTTGAAATTCTGTAAACGAGTGGGAAAGTGCACCAGTCATTGTATTATACCACTGGTTCCCCACCCTTTCCTGGCCGCCAAACCGCATTCAATGATTCCATGGTATTGTTCGAAATTTCTCCATATCTAAACATTTGTCCTTAGAAGTATTCTTGTTTTGGTAAAAAAGGCCAAAAGCAAATACCTATGACATCTGAAGAGGCACTAATTTGTTAATTCTATCCAATTTCTTCGGACTCGCTATACAATCTAATCTACTAGCATCAGCTTCTAAGAAACATGTTAAATGTGTAGGTCTATATTAAACCATTGCAATGGGCTCGCTTGAGCTCAGATAAAGATCGATAGAACTCTAGTTGGGAACCACTACTTATCAAAACCCATTTCAGTTGAAAATGTTCACCCCTATGTTGAGGTGATTAAGCAATTACGAAAAATGTTCGCATTTGTGACCAAATTTTTTTAAAGGGAATTGCACACCATGTACATGACCAATAATTCTTGTGTCATTCTCTTATTATACCTACCGTTACTGCCATTTACCGATGAGCTTTTGTGTTTTTGTAGCTTTGTTATGGTAGCTTGTTATGTAATTCTTATTTAGCATAATTTCATATAATTTTTTTCGAAATGTTGAAAATCAACAATATTGTATTCTGTAATCAATGCCTATACTGTAATTAGTAGATAGCGCCAAAGACACACAGACAAATTTAGCGTGCGTCTTTTTTTGCTTTTGGAGCACCTGTAGATTGTGGCCCCTATTTGAGTTCTCTGCCCTCAGTACTACATGCTAGTGTGATGGTGGACCTGCTTTTTCGTCGATGTAGTAGTATGACATTGGTGGGTCAGATTATACCTAAAGCATCTTTGATCATGTGTGATGCATATGTAAATAGTGTATATTATTTTTAAAACCAGTTCGAGCTTTTGAAATTAGTTCGATAAAATAATGATATTCCAAAACACCTAATATAACTAGGCTACTATAACTAGTGTCCCATAATATCAAAAATGGATCTTTATTTTTACTGAAATAAATTAGAATGTGGTTATTATATTATTGTGTTTTATACCGTGCTACCATAGCCGTGGGTAGGAAATCATTTAGAATGTCATAAGAGTAAATCCAGCCAAAAGCTGTGAATATTAAGATATAGGACTCTGGATGGACCATTAACACAACTTCTACTATCAATAATCTATTCGGGGAGTAAATTCTTTTGGTGTTAGTCTGATTTTGATTTTCTTACTTGTCACAGGGGAGTCGATGACAGATAGCATGGAAATCAATTTCGGACTCTACATCTCAGGCGTAAACAGTCGAGAATATCCATATTAAAAACCCAATATGCAAGAGCGTGGTCAGCCCAGAGTTTCGTGAGGGTTGTATGTTGACGTAATACTACGCTTACTCGTGCCTCTTGTCCGAACAAAACCAGATAAATAACTAAAATATGTCAAAGACTCTCTATCTATACAGACTCACTCCGCTGTCGCAGTTATTCAAGGTATATAATATGAGCGCGCATATTCATCTTTCTGGGTTGGTTCAATTGATGGCAAGCGAGGAACCGCCCTGTTTTTGGTAAATCGTTCAAGAATAGAGGAAAATGGTGTTCGAAAAAGCGACTGAATTTACGTCTTACTGACTGCAAATGCCGCAAAATTGCATTTCAAAAAAAAAAGTTGAAAGTTGGCAGCGTCAATGATTTATAATATATATGTAAAAAGGTTCGGGGTCCGTATGTTTCGTTTGAGTCGCCATAGTTACGTCCTAGCACTCCCGACCCTGAAACAGCAATACGCCGATAAATGATTCTCTTACTACAACTTATCTACACAGACTGCTCTTTTGTTACTCATTGGAATTGCAAATTTTCAATGGTATTGAAATAGTCAAAATTCCTCACTCAAATTCGAATTAGAGTAACTTTTTAGGAGTTTCTAACTGTGTTGGTTGAAAAAATGAATTTTGGCATACGCCGAAGTTCGCGTTATCAAAATTCGATTTTCTTGTAATCGAAATTTTTTTAACTCGAGAGTCGAAACCAATTCTTTTTCAATCTGTAGTCGATTGTGAATTCTCTTTAACGTGGTTTAGTGTGCGCGTAAATAGTTTTGTCTGTATTAGTGATGTAAGTTTCAGAATTTCGAATCGAAGCAATCTCAGAAAAAACAGCTTGATTCTAGTAAAAAAAACAATTCAGATACCACAACGCGATTGCGTGACGCAGCGGCGATGTCTAAACATTGTTCTTTGTTTATTTTCTTGTGTTCAAGCTCTTCCGAATTCGTGACACAGCGGGGTTGTTAAATTTAATACAGTTTGCAGTTTTAGAAGTCCCAATAGTTTCGCTCAATTTTGTTCGATCACGTATAATTAGGGTTAATATTTTTGTGACCTCAAAGCGACACGAATCCAAAGACCAATGCCCTCAGCTGTATTTTTTTTTACTTTACATTTTCTGATTTGACGACATAGGCCTACATTTAAAGCCTGTCTTCATTGACCGTATTGTCATCGAGAGTTCATGCGCATATTCTCTGTATAAATATTGGTTTCAGTTCGAGAGATAGAAAGGAATTGACGTTATCGATACAAAAAAATTCGAATTTAGCCACACAATGATTGCAGTGCACTTCATCTTTATCATTAACGCTTGTTTAAATATATATGGGTATTCTCATTTTAAGGTATTTGTAAATATATATATGTTTACAGGTACAGGGCTTACACGTAACAAATTGTAATTGTTACCGGAAAACAACGAAACAAACAAAATCACGCATTCACCTTCAGTAAGTAGGCTTACACGGCAACGTTACACAGCAACGAGAACATGCTAATTGGTAATATATATTTGTGTATTATGCTGTCTGGCTGAGCGCCAAGGCGGTACTTTTGACCGGCCGGGACTATCCTGCCTAAAACGGGACGTATTGTAAGCCTACGTATAATGTTTAGTTTTGAAAATATGTCCTTATGTAAACGCTCCTTCAAACCATCGATTCAATATCATGATCAACATCATTGCATCACATCCTATTAAAACGATGGTCTGCATCTCTCTCTCGTTGCTTCTTTTAAAATCGAGCGCAAAGGGGTATCAAAGCAATATTGACTGACGTTTATCCTATAGTTACTCCAAATTCAAACATTATAGTTCACAATAATATCATGTTCTACTAAATAGAATCATTTTCGGAAATATTCCAATCGGGACATTCTGATTCAAAAATAAAATATTGGAAACTTACATCCCTAGTCTGTATATTCTGTTACAAAAGACCAGCAAGCATGCCGCCTTACATCAATACTACATCACTTGTATAGACACATGATATCACATTGTCTTGCACTATTGATTATAGTATAAACACACGTTGTAAAGAGAAAAAATCAAATTGGGAACCATGGGATATTACCGTCCTGTAAATTCGAATATGAAATGCAGGATAGACGTATAGATGCAATGGTGAGCAATAGCTGCCTAGCCGAAATCCGTTCCGGTTGTTAGATATTCTATTGCATTTGCGTTCCTGTTGTTGAGATGAAATGTCATAAAATTTTTAGTTTCTTTGGTAAACTTAGTTATTACCGGTATGTTTTGTTACTTCATGATTATTTTTACATCGCAGCAGACAAATAATTAGTACAGCCGTACGTATGTATAAATCAGGGGTCACCAAACTACGGCCCGCGGGCCGGATCCGGCCCGCGGCGTCATTTTATCCGGCCCGCAATAACACGCAAAAATGGCAAAATTTTTTTCCAAGGGAAATTTTCCCGAGCCTCGTCTTTCTTGTTTATTTCGTAACATTGGCCAATCAGCGAGATGCAAAAAAGTGACGTAATAATAGGTCTTTTCGCATCCGCTCAGACACTTTTGTATGAATCAAACAAGTCAATCATCATTTGCCTCATGAGAAGCTGTAGTTTTAATGTTGTAGTAGTAATGAAAAATTAGTCTAGAAATAGCTGTGATAGGCCAAAATTCCATACCGGTACGCAACGCTTTCTGCGAAAGATGCACTCGTTCACTCGTGGCGCGTGCTTCCGACGAAACTGCTTACGTTTCTTGTGCTAAAAAGAACTTCGAATGTGCATTTTGCGCAAACAGTACTGTGTAATCCCTCGCGTACTGCTCCAATTTCACAACTCAGACTAACTTCTATACTTGGGTCACCATATTTGAAAAAGCAAAAATTCTGGACGGTGCATAACTATTTTCATGACTTCGTAGTAAAAATATGCGCGCGCACGAAATAACAATGTTCTGTATTAGCAGTGTGCATAAGATTGCTGGTGCAGTAAAATTCTGGATTCCGGACATTTTTGAATTCTTCCCGGACACAAAATTTAACCCTAAATTCCGGGCATGTCCGGAATTTTCAGGACGGTATGGCAACCCTATTCTATACTGCATGAATGCAGATATTCATGTGGGTATGTTACAAAAAAAGTTTATCCGATTTATATAAAAACTGCGCCATTGGATAGATCTGCGTGAAAATAAGAAAACAATACCAAGTTTATAAAAAAAACGGTCAATAAATAACAGAGACAACGGTATTTTAGTACCACCCCAGGCCAATTTTTTCCATAAGGATTGTACTACTTTTTTGATAAAAACTGCAATAAATATAAAAAAGAACACATATCAATCACTAATCTTTCGATCTGCGTCACATCTATGGAATATTGAGATTATTTCAGGATTTTATTCTGGCAACGGTCTTGACACCGCCGAAAGATCGTCGCAAATAAACGCTGGAGTTGTGCATGTTAGTTTGAGATTTGTGAATTTATTGTATTGTACTGACAAAAATATTTGTCCGGCCCGTTTCAACACAGTTTGAGTCATACCCGGCCCGCGGTCAAAAAAGTTTGGTGACCCCTGGTATAAATGGATGTTTCCCCAACCTTTGATCCAATGAAAATTTTCCCTGTACCATTACAATATTTCTCCTTTATGTTGAAGAGGTTTTTGAGTTAACATTTTTTTGTAACTCTTCGGCTCTATCATAAGACAGACAAAATGTGAGGGTCTACAGACGTGTTGCAAATGTATTATATCTTCACGAATTAGATGCGTTCCGGTTGTTGCGATTTTTCCCGCTCATTACTGTATAGATGTATATTACTACGTCACCCTTTGCACAATTCATCAGTTTTGCAACAAAGCTGACAAATTCCACATAGTTTTATCTATTGCATTTGATCTTTCCTAAACAAGAATCAAAGAGTCTACTTTCCAAAAAACTTTGCAACAAAAAACTTGACTACAAATGGCTTATGGGTCAAAAAATTGCTTCGCGCCTTCAATCGAAGCAAAGCAAAAAACTAATCAACTCGGAACAAGAAATATTTTTAACTATGAATGTGTTGAAAGATAAATGCCATAGTTTTAGATTGAGGACATTTTATATTCATTCTGTTGCGATGCAAAGTAATAATTGCTCAAATATTCGGACATTATATACAGTGGTGCCGGTTCGCACCGGTTCTATAGAACCGTCTCATGGAATTTTATGAGATCAGCAAACCGGTTAGCATTAATTAAAAATAATCAGTTTATTTGCTAAAAAAAATGACTTTTTGTAACAGACCGGCTGAAAAATATGACTTTTGTGACGGATAGGGATGTAAGTTTCGAATATTTTATTTTCGAATTGAATTCCGAATCGGAATGTTCCGATTCGAATATTTCCGAATCTGATTCTAGTTAGTATAACATCATATTATCGTTAACTTTTCTTAATTTTGGAAGAACTTTAGCATAAAGTGTGATAAGATATCAATAATTTAGTAGAAAAATCTATTGAATGGTTGCATCAACTACCTAGCCCCAATATATTAGAGAAGTTTTGTGTAGTTTGTATAGTAATCGTTTTTTCTATAATTAACTTTCAATATCCATCCAAATGATAAACGCCAGTGAAACATGTGTTAGTACCGTTTGCGCCGTATTGTTAGAGGAAAGCAAATGGTACGGAAGGAAGAAATCGCAGACCTTTGTTTTAAATGAGGAATAATGTTGTTATTATAATGACATTACATGGGTAATTAATAGAAACGTTTAAATAATGTTAGATTTGTAAAACTTCTTAACATTTTAAATAGTCTAAAAAACATTGTTTCCTATAAAGCTGTGACCCATGTAAAATACTCATAGTGTCTTTGTATAGACTCGGGAACGCTGTAAACATATGGGAAATAAACGCTTTTGGTCGATGATGAGATGGAATATAACAACCCCCGAGTGTTACGACTTGGGAACGCTTTAAACGGAAGGAGAACAAACGCTTTTGGTCGATGTTGAGATGTCGTCCCTGCATCGTGCAATCGCCGCGTGTTATCTAAATTATCATTTTTTTTAAACTGAATCAAGCCGTTTTTTCTTAAATTGCTTCGAATCGACTCGAATTAAGTTTGATTCGAATCGCTTCGATTCGAAATTCTGAAACTTACATCCCTAGTGACGGAACCGGCTTCCAAACAATTTGAATCCCACCACTGATTGTATATACTCTACAGTCTACAATATATATAATATCATCAAGAGGACAACGAGAATATCGGTCAGAGGCCGAAGACTTATCGATCGAAAGTTAGGGGATCCCCCAAAACAGCGCTCTTACTCCATAGTGACACTTTGTGTCCCATCACTAATTAATTGATAACTCGCTAATTATACGACATAATTCATCCAAAATCAATAGGCTTCTGGTCCGACATGTGATGAATGCACATGCAAAATCTGGAGCAGATTCAATCTCGCTTTCGTGAGATATCGCGTGCATCTAACGGACAAACAGACAAATACCTATCAACATACTTACCGATTAAAATCGATAAGTAATAATTACGAGAATATCGGTTGGAAACCGAAGACTTATCGATCGATAGTTAGGGGATCCCCCAAAACAGAAACTGCAGTTTCGATTCATCCGCTCTTGTAACTTGCGCACTGCGCATCGCACACACACACTCGGCGGGTTTCAAAATTCTCTCGCTTTACAAAAATCTAGATCACTATATCAATAATTGATTGATAACTCGCTAATTATACGACATAATTCGCCCAAAATCAATAGGTTTCTGGTCCGAGATAAGATGAATGCACATGCAAAATCTGGAGCAGATTCAATCTCGCTTTCGTGAGATATCGCGTGCATCTAACAGACACACACACAGACAGACATACATACAAATACCTATCAATATACTTACCGATCTTAAGATCGATAAGTAATGATGGCGTGAAGCCACAGAGACTGACTTCCACATAATTAAATATGAAGCACGCGATATCACAGTAATAAATATATATGTGTTGATCGGCCCTTAGCTATTATTTTGAATGTTTACAATCAAGGTAACTTGGTCTTAATCGGAAGTGTCTTTTGTTATATTGATTCTATATATATCATAAATATTGATTTGTTCACCTACCAATTTTATAGATCGGTGTTATCGTCCTATTCTTGTGCTATAACTACTACATATGATTGAGTTATTCTGCTAAACAAAATGTTGCAATCAACCCGGACTTTCACCCGCTCGTATGAAGATTACGATTTGGCAAAGCTGTATAATGAACGAAGACCGGCATACAGTTCCGAGATACCAAAAATAGTCATCAGTTACATGGAGAAGCAAATGCATGATCGAAAAAACACTGGTAAATTTTCTCGCATGATTGATGTTGGATGTGGGGGCGGCCAAGCCACTTCCATGTTTTCTCCATTCTTCGAATCTATTCTGGGAATTGACATAAGTGCCGCACAAATTTCTGTGGCAAAGGGACTGTATCCTGACTCTAATATGGAATTTCAGACGGTAAATGATGATCGAATTCCTGCAGAAAATAACAGCGTGGATTTAGTGATTTGTGCTACAGCAGCTCATTTTCTAGACATGGAAATTTTTAAAAAAGAATGTGAAAGAGTACTTAAACCAGGAGGATGCGTTGCTGTCTTTGCGTACATTATTACGAACATTCAACAAATTAATTCTACTTCTTCAACAGAACATTCAAGCCAAGACTTATATATCCAAATACATAACGAGTTTTTGCGTCGTTCGAAAGCTAGCCCGAAAAATGATTATATCGACAGCAGATATAAAAATATCTTCGATAGGATAAACGTCGAAAATAAATCATATAATTCAACTTTAGTCGAAACCCGTCTCAGCACTCTTGCTGAATACAAATCTTGCATGGCTACAATTGGAGAATACCACACAATGTCGAAAAACATAGATTTTACAATTGACCCTCTCGATTGGTATGAATGCCGAATTCGAAAGTTGGTGGGTGCTTCTGAAGATGTATCTAATGATGAATTAAAACTGGCGTTAACGTATGACTTCCCTTTGATTCTTTTCCATAAATATTCCAAGTTATGATTTTTCGATTTTTGTTCGAGATAAGGCAATATTTCAACTTTATCCTGGCAGGTTGTTCGATGAGGAAACATTCAATACGATTCAATGCACGTTTATAACGCACTATTATACAAGCAATGAGAGTATTACAACTGAAAGATATCTATTTCTCTGAAATTGCCAAATTTGTGCGTCACTTCAAAAATCATATGCCACCTTCAATATTTCAAAACTTGGAATCAAAACTCGAGAATTTTTTCCACTTTTAATGCCTGCAATGGATCATAGAGTGTTACAGCTAGATAACCTCCGTGGCTCTCCTTACCTGTGATTTAGGAGTTTTTATTTTATTTTACAAATGTATGTTTATTTTCAATTTGATTACATGGTTAGGAAATAAATATTATTGTATTATAAATATCTGAATATAAATTTATACTGAAATAGATTGTATACAGAAAATATTGAAGCAAGATGTAACAAATTAACGCTCAAATAAGAAAAGAGAGAGAGACAATTTTTGACAAACTCGAATTCATGATATAAAATAAAAAATATATAAGAATAGAACATATATATATATATATATATATTAAAGTTTGCGATATATGACTGAGTGGTAACGATGCGATCGGAGTCAGTAACCACCCAATGCAAGTTCTGTTTCAATGAACTCTCAGTATATATAATACTGTACCAGGGTTACCATATCTGACAAGACACAATCTCGAACAAATTTATTCCAGCCACGTTTACTAATTTTTGCGAGAACACACTCTTATTAGTTACTAATTTTTGCGAGTAAAACACTCTTATTGCGGTATAAATTCCGAGTGCATCTTAGAATATGGCTGCTGTCGCTTTTCCGCAAGAGTAGGCATAATACAGAAAACACACATAATACAGACTTCAGAAACACAAATAATTTTCTACCAGACTATCTTTAAAGCTGTACTGGGGCGTTAAAATTCCTGTCTTTGTGTTAACGGGTATCTTGTTTATTTCTTCGTCCACCGACTCTGCATCTATCAATGTTTATCAGAAGTTACATATGCGACACCTTTCTATGAAATGGAGAAGACAAGTCTTTCTGTTTGCAAATTTAGCAATCTACTTCCCATTCACTTCTTCCTTTACGGCAGCATGGACGTTTTGGCTTCATCCAATCAGTAAATCTACATTTATGTTGAGTCTAGGTTGTTGACGGGCGCTAGATGCTTCCAGTCACTTCTTTGTGCAAGTTTTTTATTGGCCTTTGCTGCTGCCTGCTGCCTTGTTTTTTTTACATTTCCGGTTGATTCCCAAACTGTGGGTAATTACTAACAAAGGGGGAGTAAAGGGGGATAAATGTTCACTGTCGTAACAATTCTAATGTAAACCCGTCCTTTTCGCTGGCCTGCAAAATATCTGGGCGTGCAGAATTGACGCCTAGTCAAGACAGATATTCGAAACTTTTTGGTGGCATCTCAAAGATTCCATCTTTTCCAAAAATACATTAACATTTTTGATTCAATGTCATCAAATTTACTACTATGAAGTGAGATTCCCGGTAATTGCATAGGATAGGATTTACATATTTATCCCGGGGGAGAGGAAAGCCGATAGGACGGCGGTGTGGCTCAACGGGCTAAGCGTTAGGAATACGCTCGCCACCGCACCTCTAATTACTCTGTGTGGGTTCGCAGGTTCGAATCCCATGCAGGGATGGTTATGTGCGAGAGGATTGCTGGACTCCTCGCCGTCGCTGGGTGGTTCACGTAACCGCTGGTCGGTTACGGCTTCCTCCTACACCAAGTCCATGCTTCCGAAAACAAACAATACAGTAAAACTAATCCCATACCCGACTTGGAATGGTAACAGGACAAGAGGCCGTGGTTCGCCATAAGGATAAGCCGTCTTATCGGCTTTCCTCTCCCCCGGGATAAATATGTAAATCCTATCCTATCCATATGGCGAACCACGGCTACCATTCCAATTCAGGTATGGGATTAGTTATATGGTTTGTTTTCGGAAGCATGGACTTGGTGGTGGAGGAAGCCGTATCCGACCAGCGGTTACGTGAACCACCCAACGGCGGCGAGGAGTCCAGCAATCCTCTCGCACATAACCATCCCTGCATGGGATTCGAACCTGCGAACCCAGGCAGAGTAATTAGAGGTTCGGTGGCGAGCGTATCCATTTATTTGAATGGACTGAGTTAGTCAGGGCGGAGAAACGTGGTTTTCCGCACAGAGTAAATTTACCATTGGGTTATGTTAAAATTAGGTAAGTACCAATGTTATCAAATATGATTAACATATAAAGCGTCAAGTCGGCAAACTGAAATAATATTTGTTACGAATAAGAGTCGATGCCGGTAATAAAGCAGATACACCCCTCCTTTCATTGGCGTATTGTTAGAGACACTAAGTAAAAGATATCAACCAAATCAGTGGATTCACTTGAGATTTATTCTGAAATTGGGATCTGAACCAGAATAAGTGTACCGGTAAGGACTCAAGAGCACGTTTATATGCTCACCCAAAATAGGCTTCTTAGGCAAGTCCGTTTTAAAGGTTCCTAATAGTATCGCTGCTTATGACTTCACATCAAGTCAGCATGAAGAATCGTGCCATCGTCATAAATGGCAAATGCCATCCAATAATATAAATGAGGGGGCGATACTTACAAAGATCCAGAACAATAGCGGAAGAGGGACAGTAATCAAAAATATCTTCCGGTACTCTACTTTTAACTAGGCCTTTTTCAGAGTTTGGTCTCAAAATATACATACCTGTATGTAAACACAGTCTTACAATTGCTTGATGTCTTGATGTTGCCACAGCATGAAATCACGACAACTATCTTTATGAAATATGGTACATGGCAAGACAAAATACAAAAAGAACTGGTGCTACATCAAAGATTTATCTCTGATTGGACACAAGAAACTTCTCCAACAAATAAAATAAGAGCAGAATTCGACGTTTGCTATTATATTTAATACTAGTATCCTTGTAATTCCCTTCTCATTGCTTCATACTTATGTTCATCTTTGTTAGATACCGAAGGTTTTACTTTCGCAAAGGCCTTTTCAAAATGTTCTTTGTTCACCACCACATTTAGGCTTTGGAATTTGGAGTCTTTTTCAAAAACATGTTGAGCAGAAATATGATCTTTTAAAGCATTAACAGCAGCTTCACGAACTAAAGATGACAAATCTGCACCTGTATGAAGTTGAGAAAGTTGCTACAAATACGAACATGGCATGATAGATTTATTAGACACCACTCTGTAGTTTGGAATTAGGAGTACGCTTGCCACAGCACCTATGAATACACTGTGTGGGTTCGCAGGTTTAATTTCCACGGGGATAATATGTGCGAGAGGATTTCTGGACTGTGGGGTGATTCACGTAACCGCTGGTCGGCCACCGGTTATGGCTTCCTCCACCATGAAGTCTATGCATCTGGAACGAATAACTGGCTGACTGATCCTATACCCGACATGGATTGGTAACCGGACGGGAGGCCATTATTTGCCATATGATTAAATCATCTTATCAACTTTCCTCTCCCGTATAAATACGTAAATCCTATCCTAGATTCAAGTATTACTCAATGCATAGCGCAAATTTATCATAATCTCTTACATAAAGAATCAAACTAAACTGTCAAACAATGGTTATAATTGTAGTCAGATGAGCTAAAATTTTTGTATAGACTTTTTTTGTCCAAAAAAAATATTTATCTCATCTAGTTTTCTCACCTGTAAATCTATTACACCTTTCATCATGAGAAAGAGACGATAGGGAAACATTGTCGTGCATTGGTGGTTTTGTTCCATTTTTTGTTATTGTTAAAAGAATTTTCAATCTATCTTCTGATTTTGGTAAACCAATATACAAAGTTTTATCTAAACGGCCAGGTCTGAAAAGATTGTAAAAATTCAAATGAACGAACAGACTTTTTGTATAGCTAGCTCCAAGCCAGAGGATTTCACATTTTAACACAAGCATAAAAATAAAACATTCATGAAATCAAATCTTTGTTTGTTAACATCATTTTAAATCAACGAGTTGTTCCAGTTATCAAGGGTTAATGAAAAAAGACAAATTGAAAATGATTTGATTTAGCAAAACTTCTCAGCCTTTTTTCATTGTTGCATGCAATGCTTGTTACTTATCGATCTTAAGATCGGTAAGTATGCTGATAGGAATTTGTCTGTCTGTGTGTTAGATGCACGCGATATATCACGAAAGCGAGGTTGAATCTGCTCCAAATTTTGCATGTGCATTCATCATAGCTCGGATCAGAAGCCTATTGATTTTGGATGGATTATGTCTTATAATTAGCGAGTTATTATTTAATTAGTGATGGGACACACGGGGTCACTATGGAGTAAGACCACCGTTTTGGGGGATCCCCTAACCTTCGATCGATAAGTCTTCGGTTTCTAACCGATATTCTAGTTTGTTGATTACTTAAAAGACCAAAATGATATACACTCCTGATAACAAGAGTTAGCTGGAATTGACTGATCCGTACACTGATCTTTTCAAACATCCACACAACTGGAACATTGAACTTATTTGCTAATGTGTGACCCAGAAAACTCACAAAAAGTCATGGCTTGCCACTTGATTAAGCCATTTTAATAACTTTAAACATTTTAAATACTTTGAAATAAATGAGGAATCCTATACGAAAGAATACAATACAAATATCAGAAAATATTTTAACATAGTACTTAAAATAACACTTAAGAATTATTTTCCACTGCAACCGCTTTTTTTCTTCCTCCTCTAATTAGCCTTACCTCAAAACTGCTGGATCGATAATATCTGGTCTATTAGTAGCAGCCATTACAAAAACGTGTTTTCGTGTTTCTAGTCCGTCCATTTCTGTCAACATTTGGTTAACAACTCTGGCCGTAGAAGATGACTAACAAAAAAATTTGGAATATGGTGAATATAAAAAGGGAATGAGACAGATGTCAGACCAGTTAGATGGTGCAATGCATTGAGCAAAACCAAAATGCTTTCCTTTGGCTTCTTTTTCAAATCTTAGAATCTGCCGCTCAGCCCTGTTGGGAAAGATGGTGTAGTGTAGAAAGAAAAAGATATCTGGTTTTGACCATCGATAGAAATAAAATATTACAACAGACACCAGAATTTCCAAATATTAAAAAAAGTACCGTAAATAATTTGTCGTCATAAGTTTATCTCTCATCAGTTCATCGCCCAGTTCGCCTTATTTAGCTTTAGCTTATTCAAATAAAACTGGGCATACAATTTTAAACAGATTCCAGCCAATTATTTAGAAATGGTTAAATTAATTTCATGAATCATCATATTTATATCTCTGCACAAACCTCTGCTCCTGACCTTCTGGGACAAAGAGAATCGAGTTCATCAAAAAATATAACACAAGGTGCTGAACTTCTTGCTCTTTCAAAACATTGTCGAACAGCTCTTTCACTTTCTCCTACGTACATGTTTAGTAATTCGGGACCCTAAATAAAATGACGTGTGTGAAATTATTAAAAATACAGCGCTGTGTGGAGTCCAGCACACCACCAAGCCAAACAACGCAAAATAACAACGTAATATAAAGTACTTGGGGAGGGCTGGCTAGTACATTTTTAGAGCCACCATGTTCTTGACAAATCTTGTTGAAAAAAAATAAAGTGCTGTGTATAATGTCTGCTTGTCCGGAGACTAGTTTAACATACAAGTATAAAATGACTCAAATGGAAAATTAAAAATAAAAAAAAATTAAGTTTATGATTAGCTGTGCAGTGACAATTAACTTTGCTGTTATTTTGTGCTGCATATTACTGTTAATATTATTATCTATTATGATCTAATATACCTTCACAGATATAAAATTGATTCCGGATTCATTGGCAATTGCTTTAGCTAAAAGAGTTTTTCCACATCCTGGAGGACCAGCCAGAAGTATACCAGGTGGTTTATTCAATCCTAAAGATTTGAATGCCGCAGGGTTCCTCACTGGTGCCTGAAATGTTTTTTACAATACATTTGTAACATGACGACCCTATTGTGATAGTGTTAGTAAAGCGAATTTTAAACAAAAACAGATTTCTGGCCATGTTTAAGCTTCAATTTATGATTGAAGTTCACAATGCAAAACCAATTTCCGTACAAAACGTTGCAAAATCTAAATACAAATTGGCCCAAATATGTTTGCAACACACTAAGTTTTCACACAACATAACATTTTCAAGGTTATTAAACCATACTTGTTTTAAACATCTAGTCAATGACATATCCTTAACCCTTAGAAACCTGTATATAACTATTACTACCACAAATTGGGTACTAATTCGCTATTATGTAAATTAAACATCTATATTACCAATATGGCAACAGCTAACTCCTCTCTTATATCTTCTAAAGCTCCAATATCATCCCAAGTCACGTCAGGAACTGTCGCAAATCCCTCTCTTTTTGCCGAAGGTTGAACATACGGTAGTGCATGTTCAAAATCAGAAAATTTGATGGAAAGATTCAACAACTGCCCTTCAGTTAATGGAGTAGTTTCACGCAACCAAGTCAGGAGTTCAAAAGTAGATAAGTCATTATAAATCATATTAGTTTGTAAATCAAGTATGTTATTATGTGTGTCATGGTTATCTTCAACTCTGGAATCTTGATTTTGCGGCGCATCAATGGAGCTTGAATGAGAGAGTTCCATTGCCGAATCATTCGTATGTATTACGTCGTTTTCATTTTCAATATTTGGATTCGAGTTCTGTTTCATCTTACAATTTTTGTCTGATATGTTTTCAAAGTTTCTATCATTGTTTGAATTGTCAAGTTTTGATTGGCGTAAATAGGATAAAATTCTATTGACAGCACACATAGCAGCCTCTCTGCATAATGACATGAGATCAGCACCAACATATCCTGGAGTTAATCTTGCCAAAAGCAAATAATTAAATTCAGTATCCAGCTTCAATTTCTTGCATAGAACCCTGCGAGAAATGAAAATTATTTGCAATGACAAAAAGCGAAACTGTGTCATGCATTGAGAAAAAAGAAGACAAAACAAGAAAATGACACTTCTTCACTACTGTTGTTACGGTAAGTCCAACATAAAGAGGGTGTTATTGTAGCTTGCTTTTATATTTGGAAGAGATTATATGAAAATATAATAAACAAGAGTACAACAAAAAACAAAAATCCTGTCAAGCCAAAAAGTAACTATCAATACTAAATATAACTGAAAAGTTGGTAGAATTTGCGAAATGTAATTTTATTTAGACTAAGTATACTGCCAACTTTAGTTCGAACTTAACAAGAAAGGGGAATAAAAGATTTTGAGGTAGCAAAAGGCGAAGGCACATTCACCGGATTAACAATCACTTCTAGAGAAGCAATACCCTTTTCCAAATAAAATTTTATTTAATCAATATTTTTCGAATCCCTCCCCCCCCCCATTGTATGTGGTAAGGTTGCTGGACCACTCCGCAAAGAGTGGTCACTGTAAATCTAATCGGTTACAGATTCCTCTACCATCTTAATCCATGCATCTGAAACAAATACCTGGTTAACCACTCCTCCCATAAACCTGCAATGAATTGGAAACCAGACAAGACTTCTACCATATCATTAAGCAATCTAATTGCTTTTCTATCCACCAAAATAAATTATTAAATCCACCAAATATTTACATAAATGAAGATAATGTAAATAAATATTGCTTTGTGCGATAGGTAATATTCATAAATACACATATACCTCAAGATATCCTCTCTGGCTTTTTCATCCGGAATACCCATACAAATTTCTCTATCAAATCTACCAGCCCTTCTCAAGGCAGGATCGATTGAGTCTGGTCTATTGGTTGCACCGATTACTAAAACCTTAAATATATAGTGAGAGTAAGTACATGTAATTGAGTAATACTGATGTCTGATGCACATATTAAATTTTCCAGATGGTCCTCCTTTTTTCGTCAGTCTCAAAAAAATATTGCCGGATCTTAATTGGTCGAGCGTTTGGTTGAAATTTCCAAGTGTTTATAAATTTAAATCATTTTTCAATTCGAAGATGGACAATATTGGCATATTCACAAATAATCTCGGATACATGAATGAAAATGAACCCTTTCTGTAGTAACTGCATAAAGATTATTAACATTAAAACTTTTTGAGAAAAAATAAGATACCTGTGAAGGTGATGCACTAAGATCATCGAGACATGAAAGTAATTGCGCTACTATTCTTCGTTCCATATCTTTAGAAGCAATTTCTCGTTTTGGTGTTATGGCATCGATTTCATCTGGAAAACATTTGAATAAAAATGATAATCGAGCACTTTGAAGAAGTCATGATAGTATTGAAAGTCATAGCTCAGTGGTAGGAGTACATACTATTATATAAAAGTATATTTGGAAAATTATCAGGTCCCGTATTTCTCAATGTTATTGCCCGATGTTGAGATAAAGAGGCTGCAGTGAACAGTACAATTTTTCAAGAAAATTAGTGAAAAGGAGAAAAAATTTTTTTTAATTATCTAGCTAGCTGACCAAAATCTTGAGAAATATTACACAATTTCAATGCAGAGTTATCTGGATTGTTCATTCTTATTCTATTTCATAATCAATTTTTTACCACCGTCCACCACTAACATTTTAAAGATTTCTCCCGACTAGTAAGTAGTCAAACATACCAATAAACACAATACAGGGCGCAGATGACAATGCCATTTCAAACATTTCACGTAATTTCTGTTCACTGTCTCCTGAAACTCCGCTAACAATTTCAGTAGCAGCAATCTTCAACATAGGAAGTGATAGTTCACCAGCTATAGCATTTGCTAGAAGTGATTTGCCACAACCTAAAAATATAATCACAAAATAGTCAAACATGACGAAACAGAAGATTGAGCTGTTGAGTACACCAGAACTTTTCATAAAAAAGTTATCAGAATGCGAATCGAAGATGTGCATTCATAAATAGTTCTTTTATAATACTTCAAATTAGGAGATGTGAGTTAGGACAGAATCAAATTGAAAGAAACACGGAATCAAATAATAAAATAGTTGTTTATCCGGAGTGAAAACACCCTATAAAAATATATTTCCTTTTTATTAAATGACATTGTAGACAAAGTGTGACTCACTGCACTACATCATTTTCTTCATTTGAAAACATTATCCATCGAACTGGAATATACAAAATATCAGAAACACTATTACCTGGTGGGCCATGAAGCAGAATACCACAAGGTGGAATAACCCCAAGTGTTTTATAGATTTCCGGATGTTTCATATGAACAAGAAGTTTACAAACTTCTCTCAACGTATTCTCATTTCCACCAATATCTTCAAATTTTACCATTGTTGTTTGGAATTTAAATTTTTGTGGTGCATCCTTGCCTTGAATGTCGATATCACCGTCTGAAGTTTTTGATTCGGTTTCCTTCTTTTTTGATTTTCTATGTCTTCGCCTATCTTTTCTTGTACTAGATGGAATATTTGTCTTAGTAACAGTTTTTTTATCGAGGGTAGGTTTATCATTATTCTCTACAAGACTATTTTCTTTGCTAACAAAGTCTGAATCAAAAAAATGAAATGTTTTCTTGTCTATCTCAATTTTCTCCTCTTCTGGAGATTCATTTTCTCTGCAAATATCATCGTTATTAACAGCATCTATTATATCTTTCTTTTCTTTTACAAAGGGAATTTCTGGAATAGGCGCCACTTCTGTATTTTTTATTGAAGGTTTTTCAAAAAAGCTTGATGCCGGAGTTGAGCAGTCAACATAATGATATGGTGAAGAAGGCATTGAACGAGATTTCTTTTGTTTTTTATAAAGAGACATAAGAGATGAATTCATTAATCGATGGTCCGAAAGTTCGACAAAACATTCATCATCGTCAGCAGAATCTAAAATATAGATGGTCTGGCTGTTAAATTGTTAAACTTTATTGTGTTGGCATCGAAGGTTACACATTTAAGTTTCGAACCCATGACCACAACGTCACACAGGGTGTTATAAACTGGCCAGGCAATGCAATCTTTCCAAAAATATTAGCTCCCTACACAGCATTAGAGCATTGGATAACAGTGGCTGTTTGTGCAGGGCCTTGTTCAGGTTAAATGGTGCGAGTAATCTTGGTGTAAAAATACTTGTACGAGTAATAGTTGCAACAAGTCCCAAAATGTTATAATGAACATGTTTCTGAGTTAAAAATACAACATTGTGTCATACTACTGTACTAACCAGAAGAGCTGCTATGTCCAGAATCTTCTTTCCTTCTTTTACTCATATGTTGCCTTTCTAAGTCATTCAAATTCCCTTTTCTCCGTTCTTCGACAATTGACAAATGTATCTGAAAAATGAAAATATGATTTTTTATGCATTCTACTAATCAAAGCTTCAGCAAACAAAATTGTTCTAGTACAATAATTAAAGCTATAGCAGCAAATTCAAATAGCCTATCAATACAATAGGACATAATTAAAATTAATTTGGATTGCCAGGGTGGAAGATATGCTTATAAAGTAATATTAAGAATTGAAAATCGCTAGAACTGCCAAATACAATCATAATTATACCTGTTTCACCAATTTTCTGAATCCATTCCTTTTTCTTCTTCCATAATCCTGGCGATATATAGATTGCAAGTCATCTGCCATATCATCTACATATACACGACGTCGTTCTGTCATATATTTTCTAACTCTTCCCACTAAACGACGATCAAATGAAGGAAGAAACGACATTCCAGGAGCTTAGCCTTCAAGCTCAAATGTACATCGAAAGATAGCTTAGTTAAGATCAAAGTGACTTTGATCAGTGAAGATTGAAGCATGTTTATTTCGGGGACTACCCTGAAGTGATGGACGGAGTCGTTCTGAGTTCTCATCTATTGGGTATAATTATGTGGGTAGAGCAACGACTAGCATGTCGTTGTAATCAGTGTAGAAAATTATAGTGAAAAGTAACAACTATAACTACCTGTTTGACATGGGCATCATGATTAACGTACCATACCCGACATGGACTGGCAGCCGGTCCATATGATTGATTCGTCTTGTCCCCTTTCTTCTCCCCCGAGATAAATCCTAATCCTCGTGGATAGGGTTTGTTTCCGTGCTTGTTTTTGAGACTTGTCCTCATTTTTAAACACTTCGGATCAACTAAAATAGTCTATGCTCTTAAGATTTATATCTTAACTACTTCTTTATAATTTTCATCAATTATTCGACAGAACAAATTTCAATTCTATCAAATGAAGTGCCAAAGTATGGCGCTATAATAAGATGGCATCATATTTCCAACGATTTCAACATTGTATCAGTAGGTTCCATTACATTTGAACCCACGTACATTTGAATTTGAACCCGTAATATCAACCCACGACAATTGCACCTGCATACTATTGCACCTATGGAAATATGCACCTGCGGATATTTGAACCCATACTAACCCTAACCCACGGATTTCGACACCCGCATATAGATTGAACCCGCGGATATACGGGTGCGAATGTATTGGTTCAAATGAACGTGGGCTCAAATCATGTGCTGTCACCGTATCATTATATTGCAAATGTTCGTATACTTGGGTTCTATGGTTCAGTATCATTTTTCTTCAAGTTGATTACCTCGGGAGTCGCACCTTCTTTTCGTTGATCGTCTATTTGGCCGAGAGATTTTTGTAAGTCAAGAATATTTAGAACTTTGCTCGTCGAGTGGGATTCAATTTCAGCGTGGGTACATTTTATTTGAATGAGAAGTTAAATGCTTTGCCGTGAGCCATTTGTATCAATTTGCAACGAGTGTGCGTGGTGATATTATTCATGTTTCGTGAAAATAGTTGAGAGATATGTCGATGTGTTAGAAATACCTTTTTGGATACATAGACTTGAATGGCACAGAAAGTCGCAATCGACCAGCGGTTGCCAATGCTGTAATGCGACTTATCAACGATCGACTGAATTCGAACTGATGCCGCACAATCCGCCGACCTGTCATACACTCGCGTGTCGCGTACGCAGTGAAACATACAGACCCGTGCACAATTGAAATACACAGTACGGTACACGTAGGATTGTTAAAAATCCCAGTGCCTTTTGTCGTCATATATTGAAACCACGCACCACAGATCTTGGTCACGTTTGAGTGGATGACGATCATTCTGATCACACTCAAATTTTCATTTGAAAAAAAATGTCTCGCTTAAGTCATTGAGAGATGAATAAAAGGAGGATTTGCCCACGCTAAAACAAACCATAATCTGGTATTCAAAATAACCTCACCACGAAATGTCAATCGATATCTATACAGAAGTCATTACAAACAAAACAAGTTGGTCAGATGAGAAATTTCAGTAAATACTATAAATTATTGTGTTAAGCACCCCTTCTAATAAAACAATCATATTCAGTAATGCACCAAGTAATCAATCATGACAAAATAATTCATTCAAATCCAATTTACTGCGTCAGAAAATTACGAAGACAACAATGGGAAACAAAGATTATAAAATGAATAGTTATCAAAACTATCAATTCGCCTCCAATCAACCCACTTATTTTTAACTAAGAAATTTGGGTCAGAATCAATAAAGGTACAATGTGGATCTATAATTAATAAATAAATACAATTTTCTTGATTGCATCTAGCGATACCAAAAATACCCTTTGACGAATTATCATTATCTCCACCCATCATAATAGGACTGCCATACTTTTGAAAATGTTCGTTTATACTTTGTATGTGATTCACAAGTTGCCCTTGGGGAACATGCTCGATTCCACAGGGTAGGTCATACACGTAATCTATGCATATTGATATTTCGAAAGAACCAATCCACTCTTTTGACCCCATAAATGAATGCTCCTTATCACCCATTGAAACCAATGCATGCTGAACCTCTGATATAGATGGCACATGTCCTGTAATTTTATCATAAATTTTGTCACTGTTTGTGGTTTCATTTTTACTTTTTGTCCTGTTTTTCTGTTTATGATAATGTATCCAACTGCACATAGTCTGTAGAGTTCTGTAACCACAACCCCAACCTCTGTCGTCTACTCCATCACATAAATAATGATAATACGCATATGTGCCTTTGACCGCTTCAACTTTACAATTCTCCAAAGACTCATTCAATAAATCAAGGTGGATATCATGGGGTAATTCATCAGGGAATTTTGTTGATTTGACCGGTGACATGCTCATGGCTATTCAAATTTATCAATCAGATTCAGCATACTAAAATATGAAATCACAAGACCTAAATAGTTCAAAGCAGTATTAGGTACAAAAATTGGCACGAAATTGTTATGATTAAAATATGGTTCATGTGGACGAAATGGCAACAATCACTAACATACAAAACCGAAAAAATTTACCAATTTGTCAGTGTAGGTTGATGCAAAACATGCCAGATAAAAGCAGCATAAATGGTAAAAACATGATTCTTATTGGTGGAAAGAGATAATGAAAAACTGCACTGAATTTTTGGGTCACAGTAATGTATATCAAGAAGATAGAGCAATCAGCTTTGTATTGACTATCAAAAATTACCTTCTAATCATGTCATAAATTTTCGTTTGAATATGTTAATGAATTCTCCCTGAAATTTCAACCGATAAAATAGATTTTGATAACTGTATTTTGAGATACAAAACATACATTTAGATTTTGACTATGCTCTTATTCACCTTTCACCAATTACAATGGTGAATTAAAATAATGAGGCTCTTAACACCAGGCATATTTGTTGCAAGATATTCACTGTTTTCTGAACTTGGTATGAAACAAACACTGAGATGTCAATTTATGTGAACATTGTAGGATACTATGACAGAATTGTGATGCAAATTCATGATTTTATTTCCTCAGAGATAAATACACTTCAAAACTGCTACTAAATTTGGAGTTCAGGATATATTCTTTAACAAATTCCTGACCAATTTTCCCGGGTTTAGTGAAACAAGAAAGACAATAAATAAAACCACATCGCCATCCCTATTTTATGCAACACTGGCATATGCTTTAGGTAATGTAAATAGCAGAATATTTATTGTTCACATAACCAAAATTCAAGTTTGGTCATTTTTTTGTCTCGTCTCAGTGGTGGGAAATAAGACAAATTTTAGATAGCATAATTTTCAAATAGTGATACTGCAACATAGAGCATCGATTTTCAATATATTAATAACTTTGGAACAGATAGTTCATGAGTGTAAGTACTGTCCATAATTTGACTCAGTATTGATAATGAGATATTTTGTCAATACTTGAGACATTCTCAATGTATGCAATATTCTATCATGTGAAATGCGCTAGTTTAAATTCCATTCACACTAAATTGCACCATAAATGTCTCTCATTGTTTGCTTTGAGCAGCTTCTTTTCTTGCTGCGTCTTGAAGTAGTGTTGTGTCGACTTCATCAGCTGGAAGTTGCACATATCGAACAACTGACCCTCTTATAAAACAATTTTTTACAGATAACATATGTGGATATTTTTCTGGATCTGTTACACTTATGTCTGTTAATTTGATATTCAGATATTGATCCACTGAATGTAAAGTTCCACATATACTTAAATCATTCTTCAGTTCCACAACAACGTCTTTTCCCACAAGTGATTTAAAAAATGAGTAGAATAACATGATTCCTATCAAAATGAGATTCTGTATTAATACTGTAATAAGTTTATCTTACTGACCAGGCAGCACTTTGCTACCGTATGTCAATAAATAAACAGTTCAAAGATTTTTATATGGTATATAAGTAGTCTAGCCTAACTGTAATTTCTGAAATTAGAAATATGATAATACTGTAGTAAATATCAGTTTTATAGATAACTTCCCTCGGAGTCGGACCGTAGCCAAAGCCAGATAGCCCAGCAGCTGTGAAAAATTTTGCATTCTGGTTCAAACTTGTAATATTCATTCAAGTCATTGGTATCCGTATATCATATACAGATATACTATCTCACTACAGCACCAATCACACCAGTCTACCATAGCTAAATAGGTTTAAATAATGGTACATCAACAGACAAGGTCTATAGACGGCTATATTTCTGTCACCAATGACATTAAACAACATGATAGGCAACTCTGACGTCACTCCATAAGACTACATGCGAAAGATTGTATTTCATGATACGCTCCAATGCACATATTTCTCGTCGCCTTTCGCGACCGTTTTCCGCTTGCTTTTGCTAATCGGCGTCCTCTTTACGTTTAGTACCTGCCTTTTTGCGCCTGTAACGTAAGAAAATAATCTCTATATCTAAGAAGTTTTGCTCACTTGGAAAGCTGGAATGACATACAAGCTGTAAAGAGTAAAATGGACATCATAGACTTTTTTTTTATCAGAGAAGATTACAAACGCGATAGCGTAAAGATTTGTGTGGGACATTTTGCAGATAATGACAAAGTTCAAAGGTAGTAATTTTAATGTTTGCGCTTAAACATTGAAATTTCATTTAAAGAGGGTGTCATACAAAACAGCAAAACTGTTTTTACTTCTCTTAACGGTGCTGTGATACAATTCCATAACACAAAGTTTGCACCTATCAAACTTGCCTTAGTAGGTGAATTTTTTGGACAAATTTATTGTGATGGATTTCGCATGTAATTCTCATTGATTGGTGGCTGTTTATAACTCCTATTAATTGTGAATTCTGATTATAACAAAGAATTTACTGGCACCTTTTTCTTGTCAATACTCCAAGCTGAGGTAATAAACAAGACAATACATTTATGTCATCTGGAAGCAAAATATGCACACTAATTAAAAGTTTGACACATTGAGATAATACATCATTACAGAAAATACAAGTTAAAGATATGTATGACCATCACATGGTAATTAAAATTAAAAATAAAATTAATAGGGGCTGTGGAGTATGAAAAGTTCAAGACAAAGAAAAGAACAAAAGTTCATAGCTCATGAACTCTCAATTTTGCCTCCATTGCTTTGTGAAGGCCAATATATTCCTAGTGGCTGAATTGGTTTACCTTTATGATAGCAACGATTTTGTATTTAATACGGCAAGATTTTTTTCAATTTAATTGAAGTGATATTATTTCCCAAAGCAATGCTTGAATTGTCTAGAATAGATCAGTGGTGTCAAACTCATGGGTTTTCGAGAGCCGCATTGCATGTTGGAAATTGTAAAAAGGGCCGCAAACAGTTTTTGATAATGTATACTTGAAAGATATTTTCAAGATAGTTTTAGTTTGTGACATATATTAGGATGCAACTAAACAGTTGGATTAAGTTTTATTATTTTCTTTAATTTCAAATGCAATTTCATGTTAATATTTGCATTCCACTACTATTGCAAGTTACTGTATTTATTACAAAAAATCATAAAATTCTATGTACAACCATCAAAATCATTTTTGAACAAGCTTTGGATAAGGAAAGAATAATACATACACTAAAAAAATGACTTAATCTAAATATATGAACCTAAAATTAACAAAATTACTACAATATAAACTCAATGTTTTTTAATTACATTTGTCCTGACGTTTGGCATCTTTTTTGTGTCACCAGCATACTAAGGCCAGGATGAAATAATTTTATAGTACCAACTCTAACTAACGAGGTCACATCATCATGGGTTAATCTGGATCTTTGCGAATGTTTAAATTATTCCAGTAATGCAAAAAAGTTACTTTTATCATTTCATGTATAGATCAGTAAAAAAACAAATGACAGATTTTTTCGACAAGACATTTCGCGCCACATTGCATGGCATAGGATTGCTTGAATTATTATTGATATTTAGTAACAAAAAAGTTGTATAATTATATTAATATACAAACATATGGAAATTTTCTGTTCGAAGTTGGTCTTCGAATTTGTCATATTGACTGCTAAGCTTATTGTGTTTTTTCATTGTACTGATGGAAATATGACAAATTAAACAATGTGCTTCAGAGAATTTTGTGAAATGCAGAAATATTGCAACTCCCATTTTCTTCGAAAATGCCACCTTCTTCATGTACTTTGCGTTTAATTTAATCACTCAAGTGTTTTATTCAAGTATTCTTTTGCTAGCTTGATGTGTATTCTTAAATGGGTTAAAATGTGAACAAAAAAAATTAATTTTTTAAAACTACTTTCAGTAAATTGTTTTCTGTGTGAATATTCAATTTCACTTTAAAAAGTTTGAAAAATCTGTTACATTTAGATAAAAAAAACTTCCAAAATACTTTTACAATTATTATTAAGCGTTCGAAGCCGCACTGGAAGTTCTCTGGGGCCGCGAGTTTGGTCTAGATTGAAGTTGTCCAAAATATATATCAGTATTTTATCATGAATCATGATTATACCCTTTCCTGAATTTCTTCTACAGTACTACCAAAAGTTGATGGACCAAATATAACACAGGTGTAGTGAGTGACCCGAATCCTCATTTTTCAAAGCTGTTTTAAGTATGCCTGACATGTTTTGTGCTTTTTCACAAATAAGACCGCTTATGCAATCTTACGCATCGGAATTTTTAGTTATTTTCCTCAAGCCTTGCAGGATGTAGGGGCCATACACAACTCTACCGGAGGGTCAAATGCATTTGCATGCCTCCATAGGTTGTTCTTCTATTGCAAACATTTATGGAGTATTCTAATTATATTTCTTGGAATCACACTGTCACTGATATGTCGCCAGACTTCTGATATCTCCCCTTCTGCTACAGTTGTCCTGTGAATAAATAATAGGAAATTGAGATTAGACGAATAGTTGAAAGTTTTGCTTTATGTCGTTATGTTATTTTGCTATTGCCGCTTGTGCTGCAGGAGTCTCACAATGCTTAGACAGGTTTTTCCACAACATTCACATCTGAAGAAAGAGAGGAGATTTATTAATTTTCGTTAAGAATAAATAAAGCAGTCTATATGATTTAGAATGGAAAAGCTAATAAATCCAATATCCCATGTCTATGTAAAATATGTTTTACTGAATTTGGTATATAAACCAACTAATAAAAGGGTTTAGTCAGAAAATTACAAGCATTCTTATACTTGAGAGATCAGACTATACAATATAGACCGGTGTGAGTAAAATGTTAGGTGAACTTGTTAACCCTTTGATTCGATTCGCAAATAAAAGTTATTGAGCAAGAGCAATAGTATGTTACAGCAATGAGTATATATCCTCACTGATTAAAAAATCTAACTGGAGGTGCATGAACTATTTGAAACCATAAGGGGTAAGTAAATATGCAATTTCGGCAAATGGACAACTACGTACCGTACTGAATTAATAACTTCGTAGTATTTGACAAAAGCTGGCTTTCCCACATGTACTAAACAGTGCGATGCCCGGGTGTGATATACAACAATAGTATTTACCTTACCTTTTTCCAATTTCTTTCTACCTCAACTTTACAAAATATCATTAAAATCGACAACAACTGTCAAAGCAGGCACGAACACCATTCGTGCTATTCCTTGAAAGCAGCACACATCCGCTCGTTTTCGTCTCGTCAAGTATGTGCATTGGAGCGTGCTATCGGATACGATCTTCGGCCAAAAATGGCGGAGTTGCGCATCATGTTGTTTAATGTCATTGCTGTCACTGTAGGCATTTTCTGGCGCTTCATCGTGGTTGTTGGATAATCCGGAACTGAAATTCTGTCGGTTAACCGGATCAAAAGTAACGATACGCCGTAATGCGTAATATTAATTAATACGTAAACTTGATAATTATGATGAAGAAATATGTAAGAAGACTCTTCATCACACAACAAACAAACTATCTAACTCGGGTGTCATTTACAGTTTACACGACTCAACAGTCAACGCGTTGTACGTCCTACGAAATGTAAAAAATTAAAATTTTATTATAGAAACAATAAACGCAAAACGCATGATTTTCTTTCGTGCAATGTATGTGCGTATATTTAAAGAACGATTACTTCAAAAAATTTACAAACGCTGTTAGCAGCAAGAGGTTTATAAAATAAAATAAATAATAAACTAAACGGCAATAAACATAAAAATAAAATCAGTCTCCGGTAGATGCTCGACTCAACACTCGACATCATAACAACATTTTATATGAAATCAACAGAAAATTTGGAGAAGAATATAAAAAATCCTACAATAACAGAATAATGGGAAAATATATAGCAACAACAAATAAACGATTTACCGTAATTTGATGTAAATTCATGAAAACAAAGTTAATTTTTCCCAAACTCTAATAATGAATTTCGTAGAAACCAAGTTTTCAGAAACATGTTTTTATTAACATCAATAACAAATAAATCCATTTTCTCGGGGTATTAAAACACAGATTGAAATAATTATATGTAAGTTTCTATCCGTACGACGTACATAGTTGGTGTATTATGTTAAAAGGAATTTTTGCTTATGACGTGTTACGGTATTATGTTCGTTTTTATTATTTATTCCACGCTTTGTCAAACATATTCTCTTTAATCTCTGGGAATATTCGACAAAAAAAACTGAACGCATTGAGGTGCAACAGCATATAGCATACAGCATCGGCGCGGCGGTGTGGCTCAACGGGTTAAGCGTTAGGAATACGCTCGCCACCGCACCTCTAATTACTCTGCGTGGGTTCGCAGGTTCGAATCCCATGCAGGGATGGTTATGTGCGAGAGGATTGCTGGACTCCTCGCCGTCGTTGGGTGGTTCACGTAACCGCTGGTCGGTTACGGCTTCCTCCACCACCAAGTCCATGCCTCCGAAAACAAACAATATAACTAAGCCCATACCCGACTTGGAATGGTAACCGCACGAGAGGCCGTGGTTCGCCATATGAATAAGCCGTCTTATCGGCTTTCCTCTCCCCCGGGGTAAATATGTAAATTCTATCCTATCCTATAAATTGAATGACGAATCCGAAACAATTTTCAGAAAATGAAAATTCATATGCCAGAAGACCACGATCGAAAAGTAGAAAGAAGCCTCTTAACAAATACACTAAATTTGAAAAATAGAATGCATCAGACATTTAGGCGAAAGATTTTCACGCGTCGACCTTCCAATGTTTGCTAGCCCTGGTGACAACAAGACTGAATCACTTTGTGGATTCGCGCAAACGACCTGAAGGGTTATCAGTAGAGGACGAATTGCACTTCTTAATTTCAAAACACTGAACCAGGAAACGAAAGCATTGGGCCCAAAATAGTTACAATTGCTCATTTTTGACATTACCACACGTGAACTTTTCGTCATGTATGTTTGTATTATTATTTTAAAATTCGAATAATTGCTATCTGGCTAAGCACGATTTCAATGTAAACTATTTACGGTTCGCGCAAACGACCAAAGCACCTAGATCAGTAGAGGACAAATCGCTCTTCTTACTTTAGAAAAATCGAAACATAAACGATATCCGGTGCGATACAAATGCGAAATATATTTGTGAAAAGCGTGTTCAAAAATCAATGAAACTGTTATGATCAATCTTACTTTGTCATTGAGTAAAATACCACGAACATTTTCATTTAAAAAGCTGTTCAAAAAATCAAATCTAAGATATTGAGTTGGCAGGCCCAAACGTTGTGATCTATGGGTATAACTATTGAAAGCTATTGTGTTTTTATATAAAAGTTGTAAGCTACTATTGATATCCACCGTATCTGTAGTATATATATCGTATCGACTGCATGCAAAGATATTTATGGTTACACGATGTTGGAAATTAAAAACAAATTCAGCGAATGGGGAATGTAACTAAGATTTATCGCCTTTTTATTAATTATGTGTAAATTCAATGAATAGGTAATTTTCTCTATTTCCTGATTATGATTTATCACAACAAGCAACGAGTCGTAGCAATGCTTCTTTGTATCGACCGATTTGTGACGTGTTCCCGGCCTTCATTGGAGAGTTGAGAATAAAATAAATAAAAGAATAAAATGTTTTGTGCATTACTGATTTTTATTTCAGCCCTATAACTGGTATTATAGTTTAACTGTATATTTCGATATATCTGCTTCAGATTCAATTCAGTCGTGCAACTTTACAATTTACAAACATTGGCTTTACAATCTATTGTGTGCTTATTGATCTCTGAAGGAGTCAGTTTGGTTTACTCCGCTAACGTATGTATAATAATAATAGTACGGGGGTGGGGCACGCAAAAAGGGACCCATTTTTTCCTTATAATTCAATCATCTGTTTGGTTGTGGCTTCAATAAGAGTGAGAAATATTATTTGAGTTTAAAACAGAACAATTGATTATTAAATTAATTTATAAAAATTGATTTGTATTGTATGTCCTCTAAAATCAAGGAAATCTTTAAGATCACACCAGCATATTCCACTTTATAATTACAAAGATTAATACATAATTATATTATTCAAATTGAACTTCTTATGAGGACTGGGGCGCTTTCCCCATCACGGCATCCGTTTTGGATAGGTACTGCCGCACAATTCCGCACCCATGTGCAATTGCACCCACACATTTGTACCTTAGATTTTAGCACCCCCATACAAATTACGCACGTTTGCACCCAGATACATTTATATTCACGAACATTTGCACCCATGCAAAATCGTGTTAGATATATTTATTATACACACCAAAAATATATTTAAACTATTTGAAAAAGTAGGCTATGTAAATTTTCGGCAATATTCAACAATGGTGGAAGCTTTGTAATATGTTTTGCTATCTGCGCGATAGAATCAATAATAATACACCATGTGTTGTTTAAGTACTACAAAAATTTTATAGCTACGAAGACCAGAACCAATTAAAACTTTCTCAGCCTCTTTTTGAACTAACTATACAAGTGCAACTGTAGTAGATTCTATCCTTCCCATTCAGCTTCAAACCATGTGCCAGCTACTGGTGATCCGAGGCCGTATTTTTCGGCTATCTTCTTTGCACTTTGGCCTCCTCTGAATCCGCCATTTGGGCCTATTTTCTCGTCCATAAACTTTATTTTGTCCGATTGTTGGAAAACCAATATGACGTAACGGTGTAAGCCTAAAAGTGACACAATATATATAATTAAAATATGATTTTTAGCTTTTCTCTGTTCAAAATTTTTCCAAAAATACTGCAGTATTTATGCAAAAGAAGTTTATTTAATCTCACTATGGAGAATCATATCTATGGATAATACCTGTTCCTTTGGGAGGCGTAGATCCCATGTATGTGGTGATTACTTCTCCTTCGTTTACATTATTCTCTGGGATATTGATGACGCCCCAGTGAAACCATTCGCGAAATGTTGGATTTTTCCGACTAGGAGCATCTAGGTCCATCATTAACAGGGTATAAAATTGATCTTTCTCCGCAGTCCATTTGACTGTAGGTGCAAACTTTACTTGTGTTGGTGTCAATTTTGTTCCCCCTTCTTTGACATCTATGCTTCCAAAAGACACTTCTGTCTGCTCACATGGTGTATTAAGATTTAAATCAGATTTTAGATCATTTTTTATCCAATCTTGGCTGAATGTATCGGTTTCTGCAAGTACTTGGGAAAAATCATCACCGATAACTAAATTGAAAAATGGAGAGAACGTAATGTTGCTCTATAAATCAACGCAATGTAACGCATTATACATTTCCTATTATTTAAGTTTTTACAATTTTCAGTTCTACAATGGTTAATGATTTTTGTTTGAATAAATGTAAAAACAATTACTCATCTAGTGAAAAAACTATTCAAATACTACTTTACTACTCGTATTTTAATATCAATACAAATATCAAGCGACTAATTAATATTTTTATACAGTATAGGTAAGTCACTTTAAAAGTGAATTATCCTTGTGTTGAAATTCATTAATTCAAGTGTGCTATCACAACACCATTGCCCAGGAAATGTGAAGATAAATTTCCAGTAATTGTCTCAAATTTCAGATTGGAGAACAATGAACTACAAACACAATTTTACCAACTTACAATCATTGATAAACATAACTGACATCCAAGCTGTTAATAAAATCAATCAATAAATAGATGAACTATCCATCAGTTAACAAATTCTCTAGTATACTCACATTCATGTCCGTAGCAACTGTAAAAATATAGGAAATATAATTATATATCCTATAATTATAATTATAAATATGTTTTTATTTCTATGCATTCTTGTGCATATACAAAATGCCAGACTATAATTTCCTGTTGCAGCAGATTTACAATAATCACATTTTTTTGAATGGGCTCTTTGTAGGGAGTTACTTGGATATCTGAAATTACGCAAAATTAAATAAGTCAATGAATATAAATCGATATGACGGGTAACGTAATATACATATACAGCCACTAACGTACATATACAGCCAAGTCAATAAATATATACAGTCATTCAAAGAATGTGCATACACGGGCATATGCATGCATAGCGAAAATATTGGTAATATTAATATTATAAATAAATTATGGAGAATTATATTGAACTAAAGAACACAACCACACAGTAACAAAATATAAGGTTTGTAATGGTAACGAACGCTCAACAGTCTACATGCATAGGAAATTAGTTGGCTATGAATGTGGCTTGAGTGGCTGTATATATGCACACTGAGTTGACTGTTATTTGATTGGCTGTAAACAAGATTTATATGCATATTATTTACTGTATGTATATATATATATATGTATATCAACTCCGCTTATAAATAATTTGAATGAAACTTACCTTCCATACCGCAATATACATATCACAGACAGAACTTGATATAAATATTTTCGAGTCATTGTCAAGAACGCCTAGCCTCAGTCCTTTCCTGCCGACTAACTTAGAACTGTCTGGACAATAACATCATCTGTCGCTCTTAAATAATAGAATTTAACACCCTCTGACGCATTAGGGCTACCAAATCAGGTTAATTATTATTCAAGTTTGATATAGCATAATAAATTTCACACACAATCAAGTACACTTGTGCTTGTAATTTTCCCCTCTCATATGGCGGTTATTGATTTTCACGCAGCCTTTCTGTATCCGGTTCAAGGCTTTTCATATATAGGCCTATAAACACGTATATTAGCTTGTATACATTGGTTATCTGAATGAATCTCATCGATTTCTCTTTATTCGATAGCAGCTTGCTTTATGTCGCTTCATCAGCTTCCCTCGCCTCGGAATACATATAAAAACTCCATCTTATTGCTTTTTTTCGTATTCTAATTTTTGTCTAAGCCTCATATTGCCCATGAGTCTGCCAATCTGAGTATAATATGTGGTAATGGAACTTATATTTATTCTCATATGTACAATAGTTTCATTTTAACACAATATTTGGTGTTTATATTAAGTGAACATTATATTGTAGAAAAATACAATAAAGGAATAAATCAGGTATAACACGATACTAAATTCAATTAATACTAATATCGAAGTGTTCCACGCAGCCGAGCAAAAAAGTGGTCGCCTGTATACGACATGAGTAACAGATTTTCATGTGGTATTTCCATGCACGTCAGGACCATACATGGTACAAATCCCAAACCCATTTTTTCTTAATTTAGTCCATATATACAAAAAGGGAGGTACAGGCTATCTACAATTGTATTGTATCGCTGGTCCAAATTGACTACAAAGATTCCGATGAGGTCGACAAAAAACCATCATCGACCTGGTAATCGTAATTAAACCGTAAACACTATGAGATCATATACGACGCGGAGATTAAAAGACTATGCCAAAGAAGATGCATTTGCCCTTATTTTACGTTTCCATTATGCAAATAGTTATTGATAAGTTACGTAAACTTCAAACCTGACCTTAACCACCCTTCAACGCTGGTTAATAGGGGTCTTGTGTATATTTAGCTCAGGATTTGGTCGAGATTCCTCAGCATTCCTAAATGTTGTTTCCTTTTATTGGACACGTAGTGGACATAACGATCGTTTCAATATTATGTTGTTGTTCTTGTTCTTGTTCTTTGACACGTTTTTAAAAAGTCGCTTTTCTCTTTGATTACTGGACTAATTGCTTTGAAATTTTCAGTGGTTGAAGATGAAATTTTTTTCCAGAAGGCTATTACTTTTATTTATTTCAAATATTTCTGTTAGCTCTGTAAGATTTGTTTTTGTTTGCTATGACGTCACTAAACGTTCTGCGGATATCGGACGCCATTTTGTGTCCAACGGACCATCTTGCAATTTCAATTCACGCTGTCACAAGACAGGAGTTCTGGTACCGTAACACAGCGCGGTGACACTGAACTAACTCGTAGCTGTCAAAAGCTTGAAAATCCATACAAATATGAGAAATAAAAAGATGAAACTTGGCAGGTGGGTAGAGTTGTGTTTCTTTTAACCATATTTGAAAGTTTCGCGTTTCCACATTTGAAGGAGGGGGAATAGGGGGTGTGCATTTCCGATACGTCGATAATATCTTTGTCAACCAATTTACGGCCACCGTGTTTTCGTCTGTTTGATTGCTGTGATGTGGTGCTTTGTTTATAATTTAACGAGTTTTGTTCGAAATAACCGTGTTCTTGAAATATATGACGGTCAGAAATGCAATTAGAAGCCCAATGTTTTCACGCTGTCACAAGACCAACAATTGTCAACCAATTTGCGACCACCGTGTTTTGTCTGTTTGATTGCTGTATGGCTGCGTATGCGATAGTCTCGACGCAGCATAAACGATGATCAAGGCTTGAAATCCGTGGTCGCACACTGGTCGTTCGGTCGCAAATACGTCTTTCGAGTGCCGTACTTTGGGGATTTGTATAGCTTCAACCCTTTGTCGTAGAAAGTTAATACGAGGTTTAGCGTGTAGAATAAATGCCGCCAATGCACCCACGGTGAAAAAATTAACGGGTTAGATATATTGGTTTTTGTTTTATAGCGGTTTGAATGAAATTGTCCGCAGACTGGCTACACCACCCTAGGCCTGGTGAGTTGTCCGTGTAGTCGAATTGTCCATCAGCCCTAAACGGCTATGACAGTCACTGTACCAAAAATTGTACCCCGATTCGGCTGGTGTTAAGTTGACGCATGTTTTTTAGTAACGTTTTTATCTGAAATGTTTGACTGTGGTTCGGTACCTGATCCGATAATACGGTACATAATTGACTCATATCACGAAATATTCCAACTGATGTTTCAATTGTCACAGGACCTAAAATATCTATGACAGTCCCTGTACCGTCACGGTACCCCGATACAGGTACTGGTAAGTCACCGCCGGTATGTTAGTCGTTGGTCACCGCATATGATTTTTGGGGAATTGTTCTGCGTGTCCATATATTTGAGCATTGCTCTCCTGTTCATAGAACATTGCGCATTTATGTGTGCTATTGATTGGGTTTCTGTAAAACCAATTTGATCAATGCTTATTGGCATTTTAATCAAACTTTCCCATTTTAGATGCTCTCAAACAAATGAGAGAAAATGAAAATGTTGCTACAAAAAGGTTGAAGGTTGAGAATTATTAATTTATATTTTATTCACTGATTTTTTACGCTTCGTATGAAATTTAAATACTTAGTCCTGCTGGTCATAAGTTTTGACTTGTGAAATCCGATGCAAAAAATGATATTGACTAGTTAACTATTTGGCAGACTCTTGGCTTTTGAATGTCGCGATTACTCAACGCGAAAAGTCACTACAGAGCGTACTGACCAGCGTTCATCCATTACCGGCTCCAGTCAAAAACATAGCCGCTATCTAGTCTATTAATTGCATAAAAGTCTTCGTCAGCAGACAATCAGCTATCGCCGAGGTGGCTCTGTTTTGCGTTTTGACAAAAAATGCGCATTTGACAATTCTCCAGAAAGCGGCTACAAGAGATTTGAGTTTCTCAAAAACACTTAACTAGCAACCGACTAGCAATTTTATACTAAAGTGAGAAAAAAAATTATGACTTCTCATTATATCCCTCAACGAGATTCTGCGTACGTTACTGCATTTCGGTGTCCATTCCATATATATATTTATTTTTCAAATATTATAATTTGAGCCATAATAATTATCTTTTCCATGAAATAACAGAAATAGAATAATATAAAAATAGATAATACCGTATTTACCGGCGAATAAGTCGCTTCTCTAGACCCAAATTTTTGACCTGATTTTTTTTTTGGGGGGGGGGGTCGTCTTATTAGGCGAATATAAGAATTTTCATTTTTTTTGGTGTCGCCTTATTATTCAATTCGGACTAGAAAATACCTTCGACAATAGCATCCCTGACGAGACTATGATATATGTATAATACCGTAATTACATTAATGTAAAGTATATTTAAGTCATTTTTTTGACATAAATTTTACTCGGTGGGATATTATCGCTGACTTAAGGTTTTGTTCCTACCGTGATATCCTAAAAATAATTAGTGGCAGCATTGCGATGAGGCGGAATTGTTGCAGCAACAGCTCAGATATGTATTTAAATTGCAAAAATACAAATCAATTCAACATATAATCGTACATGTTTATGTCCACGGATTGAGTTGGAAATTTGGAGCAGTGATACTATTTATATTGTCCCAATCGCAGATTATATTTATTACAATTAAATTAATGAAGCAACACATTTTGTTTTGTGGGGATTTCCAGGTGATGAATATGCATGTTTTATATATACACTTTATATGTATATTTATTTATAAAAACTAAATATAATCAGGTAGTTTATCTCACCATATTATGTCCGCAGATCGCCGTGTTATTTTAGATCAGCAATGTTCTTATATGGTGGGCGCAACCTTGAGTTACGTTGAACACAATTAGATTGAAATTGAGAGACAGTTTGAATTCCCGTGGTTGTAATGGATTGAATATTACGCTGCAAGAAGAAGTCATTATAGGCTATTTTAACCAATGCGCAAACGCGGCGACCACTCAAAAGCCTTTGCGTGGTAATTTGATATTCCGATGTTGATGCGATTTTACTACCCGTCTTATTGGGAGGTTATATGCAAAAAAAAAACATTTTATCAAACGGGCCTTATTTACTGGGTAGACTTATTCGCCGGGAAATACGGTATATAAAATTACATAAAATACAACAGGCAATCAAAGAGTGCATAAATTTAATTAAAGCAATAATAGAGAACAGTCAGTGAACAGTGAAAAGAAAATTGAAAACTTTTATTTGTCCCGCTACAAATGACATTCGTCAAGTGCCTTTTCTTAGTTAATTAGGTAGAGTCGAAGGCTCGAAATTCGGTATTCCCGTAGTACAGGGTCGTCCAACCCGTGGCCCGCGGGCCATATGTGGAAGCATTTCAAGTGGCCCGCGCTGTATTTTTCAGAATTGAATAAAAAAAATTGAAGTAAAACTATTTTTCGAGTGATGTACTATACAAAGATGTGATACAGATGTGATTGGCCCCTTCGGTCAAAAAGGTTGGACTAATTTTATTCCAATTTTTCTTATTTTAGTTGTATTACGAGTTCGGTGACTAGCCAAGTGACTCCCGTAGTATTTGTACCTGAAATTATGGCCTAATCCTAACCTGGTACACATACTCCGTTCCGATGTCCGCCATCTTAGTTTACATACTACGGGAGTACCCGAAATTCCGCTCTGTTACAAATATCGAAATTTGAACTATAGCCATTAATCACACCGTTAACAAAATGAAAGAAAAAACAATAGCATAAAATGTTAATTAAGCAAAGATACTGAATAAGAGGTTTTGCTTGCGGTATATTTGAAGCGTTTTTATCGAGTTTCCTCTTTCCTACAAGTCTGAAATTCTTATCTCGTCATTCTGATATCATGATTCCTCACAAAAAGTTGTGAAATCGAAGACGGAAACTTCAATATACAATATTGCCATGGTGGGAGTAGGAAAACAACCAACGGTTCGCCGAAAAGGTACATTTTTATAGAAGGTAACGACATAATATCCACACTGTCATGCTTCAAATATCTTTCAATTTTATCAGTCATATTCCATATTCAAATCCACTCGTGATCAACAAATGGTTGAATTCATTTTTAATTTACAATATTATAATCTAGATACTTATGCGTTTGATACAAAACTAAAAAATATTATTATATAGACATCAAGCACGTTACCAACTTTTTAGTTATTCATATTTTTTATTACTATGTATACTTTTTATATAAAAAATTGAAATTTTCAACAAATAAATTCATAGATCACAATTCACAAGGTTTATTTTCCGGTTCTCAAGTCCTTGGATAACATTTTTAGTGGCTTTTTAAAATGATAATGTTTGCGGTATTTTAACCAATGACAAAGTAAGAACAAGAAACACAATTGAAGACATTTTTAAAAACTTGCCTCACATATATATTTCATATTTAAATCGCAAGGGACATCGTTCAGCTTCCAAGAATAATCAATCCGAAAATTTACGCAATTTTCTGGAATGTTACCGGCCCCATTGCTCGGCTCTCCTGAATACCAGTCAGTATTATTTTGTGTTGAAACCACACCATCAGCCCAGATGAATTTACCTTCCACTTTACTCAAACCAATCCATGTGTTGTATTTGCCGGTTTCAAGCAAGGGCAATATTTCGCTACAATGAATACCAGTGAATTAGAACATATTAACTGAAGTATACAACTTTCACCAACTTCAACAAAAAATATTTTCGATTTTCACAGAGCAGAATGACCACAATGGATTATTCACGCAATTCCAAATGAGTCCGCAATAGAAAAAAATTGTTGTAGTTCAGAAATTAATTATATTACAATTATTTAATTTTTGAACTTTTAAATAAAAAAAATATGTACTCTTACATGACGTAAATACAAACATATCAATTTCTTTGTTGGATGTTAAATTTTTTTATTCAGAAGAAAGTGGATTATTTTGTTACCAAGTTTGAACATAAAACATGTCTCATAGCGGTCAATATTATGTCCCATTTTGTAGATAAGTTCAGCAAAAAAATGTACATACTAATGAATGAATTTGTAAATAACTTTTGGCTCTACAAAATTTTTGTTTACCCTTTGATTGTAGTATTTCTTATGCCAGTAGAAGCCAGATCTCCCCCTCGTTTCTGACAGTATGACTTAGCAGTTGTGTAGTTGACTTTATCGTGGAATAGTTCGTAGTAGAGTCCGTTACTTGCTCTGTGCCAGGTCTTGAGTTCTTATGTTTATAATATAATATGTTGATTTTTTAAATAATTTTGTACGTTATTAAATTAGATTAAATTGAAGGAAGTTAGGATATTCAAACTCCGTAGTGATACCATTATTCTTAACAATGAAATGAAAAAGAAAATTTCTGACAGAAGTTTATAAGTAGATGAATGCGTGACGTTGACGGTTCATGGCATCATTCTTTCAAGACTTATACTGCCTTCCATTAAAATTAACTCGATGCCACTCGATACGTATTTTAAATCACATCATTTTTACGGTAAGAATTTATTTGACTCTGATAATATTTCACCTTCTTTTGCTTCCACATTTTTTCTCATTTTTTGAAGAAAATCTGTAAAAAATAACGTGCGTTATTATCGATAAGTGTTTATTTTGTATTGTCGGGACAAAATTGATGTCTTATCAACAGTGGAAAAACGCTGAACTCCACCAAAAAACCTTGTGATATTAATTAAATACTTGAAATACGTGAAAATATTAGAAAAAAAATTGCGAAAAGAATATATTTGAATTATACAAGCTGATGTAAAATATCTATCGCTTCTGGTGTTTCGGTAGAGAAGACAATATACGTTCCGGTTTTCCACCAAAGAAAATTTAATATAGACATTTATGGCTACATACATATTTCAAAAAAAATGGTTTATTATCTTTTCGTCGCTCAAACTGATTGAAAATACTGAAAAGATAAAATTACCTTCGGCACTAGGATTGCTACAATCTCCAACGGAAACCCAGCGTCCATTCGTCCATTTTGTAAAACAGTGACCGTCTGAATATAACTTAATCAATAAAAAGACTAACACTAAGAAAGGACAAATTTTACGACGATCGAAATGTTTCTCTGTTCATAACAATAAAATAAATAAAGTAAACGAAGGAACACAAATACCAAGAAGAAAAAAATATAAAAATAACTCACCGCTTCTAACTGAATTGATCACGAACATACAAAGGGTTACAAAAATGTAGACTTTCATTTTTCTTAAATTACCAAACTTATGAAATTAACGCCCAGCTATCCCGTGGTTGTAATGGATTGAATATTACGCTGCAAGAAGAAGTCATTATAGGCTATTTTAACCAATGCGCAAACGCGGCGACCGCTCAAAAGCCTTTGCGTGGTAATTTGAGATTCCGATGTTGATGCGATTTTACTACCCGTCTTATTGGGAGGTTATATGCAAAAAAAAAACATTTTATCAGACGGGCCTTATTTACTGGGTAGACTTATTCGCCGGGAAATACGGTATATAAAATTACATAAAATACAACAGGCAATCAAAGAGTGCATAAATTTAAATAAAGCAATAATAAAGAACAGTCAGTAAACAGTGAAAAGAAAATTGAAAACTTTTATTTGTCCCGCTACAAATGACATTCGTCAAGTGCCTTTTCTTAGTTAATTAGGTAGAGTCGAAGGCTCGAAATTCGGTATTCCCGTAGTACAGGGTCGTCCAACCCGTGGCCCGCGGGCCATATGTGGAAGCATTTCGAGTGGCCCGCGCTGTATTTTTCAGAATTGAATAAAAAAAATTGAAGTAAAACTATTTTTCGAGTGATGTACTATACAAAGATGTGATACAGATGTGATTGGCCCCTTCGGTCAAAAAGGTTGGACTAATTTTATTTCAATTTTTCTTATTTTAGTTGTATTACGAGTTCGGTGACTAGCCAAGTGACTCCCGTAGTATTTGTACCTGAAATTATGGCCTAATCCTAACCTAGTACACATACTCCGTTCCGATGTCCGCCATCTTAGTTTACATACTACGGGAGTACCCGAAATTCCGCTCTGTTACAAATATCGAAATTTGAACTATAGCCATTAATCACACCGTTAACAAAATGAAAGAAAAAACAATAGCATAAAATGTTAATTAAGCAAAGATACTGAATAAGAGGTTTTGCTTGCGGTATATTTGAAGCGTTTTTATCGAGTTTCCTCTTTCCTACAAGTCTGAAATTCTTATCTCGTCATTCTGATATCATGATTCCTCACAAAAAGTTGTGAAATCGAAGACGGAAACTTCAATATACAATATTGCCATGGTGGGAGTAGGAAAACAACCAACGGTTCGCCGAAAAGGTACATTTTTATAGAAGGTAACGACATAATATCCACACTGTCATGCTTCAAATATCTTTCAATTTTATCAGTCATATTCCATATTCAAATCCACTCGTGATCAACAAATGGTTGAATTCATTTTTAATTTACAATATTATAATCTAGATACTTATGCGTTTGATACAAAACTAAAAAACATTATTATATAGACATCAAGTACGTTACCAAATTTTTAGTTATTCATATTTTTTATTACTATGTATACTTTTTATATAAAAAATTGAAATTTTCAACAAATAAATTCATAGATCACAATTCACAAGGTTTATTTTCCGGTTCTCAAGTCCTTGAATAACATTTTTAGTGGCTTTTTAAAATGATAATGTTTGTGGTATTTTAACCAATGACAAAGTAAGAACAAGAAACACAATTGAAGACATTTTTAAAAACTTGCCTCACATATATATTTCATATTTAAATCGCAAAAGACATCGTTCAGCTTCCAAGAATAATCAATCCAAAAATGTACGCAATTTTCTGGAATGTTACCGCCCCCATTGCTCGGCTCTCCTGCATTCCAGTCAGTATTATCTTGTGTTGAAACCACACCATCAGCCCAGATGAATTTACCTTCTACTTTACTCAAACCAATCCATGTGTTGTATTTGCCGGTTTCAAGCAAGGGCAATATTTCGCTACAATGAATACCAGTGAATTAGAACATATTAATTGAAGTATACAACTTTCACCAACTTCAACAAAAAATATTTTCGATTTTCACAGAGCAGAATGACCACAATGGATTATTCACGCAATTCCAAATGAGTCCGCAATAGAAAAAAATTGTTGTAGTTCAGAAATTAATTATATTACAATTATTTAATTTTTGAACTTTTAAATAAAAAAAAATATGTACTTTTCTTACATGACGTAAATACAAACATATCAATTTCTTTGTTGGATGTTAAATTTTTTTATTCAGAAGAAAGTGGATTATTTTGTTACCAAGTCTGAACATAAAACATGTCTCATAGCGGTCAATATTATGTCCTATTTTGTAGATAAGTTCAGCAAAAAAATGTACATACTAATGAATGAATTTGCAAATAACTTTTGGCTCTACAAAATTTTTGTTTACCCTTTGATTGTAGTATTTCTTATGCCAGTAGAAGCCAGATCTCCCCCTCGTTTCTGACAGTATGACTTAGCAGTTGTGTAGTTGACTTTATCGTGGAATAGTTCGTAGTAGAGTCCGTTACTTGCTCTGTGCCAGGTCTTGAGTTCTTATGTTTATAATATAATATGTTGATTTTTTAAATAATTTTGTACGTTATTAAATTAGATTAAATTGAAGGAAGTTAGGATATTCAAACTCCGTAGTGATACCATTATTCTTAACAATGAAATGAAAAAGAAAATTTCTGACAGAAGTTTATAAGTAGATGAATGCGTGACGTTGACGGTTCATGGCATCATTCTTTCAAGACTTATACTGCCTTCCATTTAAATTAACTCGATGCCACTCGATACGTGTTTTAAATCACATCATTTTTACGGTAAGAATTTATTTGACTCTGATAATATTTCACCTCCTTTTGCTTCCACATTTTTTCTCATTTTTTGAAGAAAATCTGTAAAAAATAACGTGCGTTATTATCGATAAGTGTTTATTTTGTATTGTCGGGACAAAATTGATGTCTTATCAACAGTGGAAAAACGCTGAACTTCACCAAAAAACCTTGTGATATTAATTAAATACTTGAAATACGTGAAAATATTAGAAAAAAAATTGCGAAAAGAATATATTTGAATTATACAAGCTGATGTAAAATATCTATCGCTTCTGGTGTTTCGGTAGAGAAGACAATATACGTTCCGGTTTTCCACCAAAAAAAAAATTTAATATAGACATTTATGGCTACATACATATTTCAAAAAAAATGGTTTATTATCTTTTCGTCGCTCAAACTGATTGAAAATACTGAAAAGATAAAATTACCTTCGGCACTAGGATTGCTACAATCTCCAACGGAAACCCAGCGTCCATTCGTCCATTTTGTAAAACAGTGACCGTCTGAATATAACTTAATCAATAAAAAGACTAACACTAAGAAAGGACAAATTTTACGACGATCGAAATGTTTCTCTGTTCATAACAATAAAATAAATACAGTAAACGAAGGAACACAAATACCAAGAAGAAAAAAATATAAAAATAACTCACCGCTTCTAACTGAATTGATCACGAACATACAAAGGGTTACAAAAATGTAGACTTTCATTTTTCTTAAATTACCAAACTTATGAAATTAACGCCCAGCTCAAAACAAAGCCGACACTGCAATGAAAGTGATTATTAACCGTAATTACTATGCTATACATTATTCGTGCAATATTATTTTTATTACAATATGTATACGAATTGGCTTTCCTATTATACAGGCAGGCGCATATTTTTTATTTCACTTATCAATATGCTCCCTTCTAATAAAAAGTGCTTTGGTTAAACATCCGAGAAATCAGGCAGCGACGAAGAAGAAGAAGAGTTTACCTTTTGCCCTTATTCCTCAGGCCTACATGTTTCCGAGCTTTAATAGGCATAAAATACACATTAACGATTTCAAATTAGGGTTTTATTCAAAAGCATAATAATTTTGTGTAAGTGCGCCGTGAATTTTTTTTCCTGGTAATTTGGCGCCGCACGAACAAAAAGTTTGAGATCCGCTGTACTAGGCGTTTTGCATTTCATTGCAGTGGTCTATATATATTTATATATATATATACCTAGCGATGCTTTACCATGGTGCTAGCTGAGTCCGACATTGCTTAACTTCCGAGTTCAGGCGAGATCGGGTGTATTCGAACTAGTATGGTTGTAGCTTTTCAAAACTTCGAACATAATTTTAAAGATAAACGAAGCAAGAGAGTAAAAATAAAAAAGGGCGGCGATAGGTCTCCGTTTATATATCTTGGTTCATGACTGTAAGAAACTCGCTGAAATAATTAAAGCTCGATGAAATTTGAAATAACTCGCAAACTAATAGTCAGGCTTGTCCATGGAAATGAGAAAATTATTTCTAACGGGAATCCCTTGGGATGGGACAGGCTTAAATTTCTATGGGATGAGATGTGACAGAAAAATATGTCCCATGGACAAGCCTGCCAAAAATACCTAAAGAAATATTGCGAGTAAAGATTTTTAGGGGTTTCCGATTACTTAAACCACGAAGGGCTCAACCATTTGCGAGTTTTTCTTGTCAGAATGTTTACATCTCTTTCCAAGTTTTATTTGATAAACAACAATCTGATATTTAGCCAACTACCCACTAAATTATTGTATATATATATTCATGTAAACGGGTAAAATTCGTTCCTTGATTCGTAAACAGTTTACTTTCAACTCATACTAATCTTACACTCATGCATGAAACAAAGAAGTCATTATTTGAATTGTACACTGATCATACGTACATATAGAAATTTAATTTTATCATATCTATTTGAAAATCGTCAAAACTACTTTCGTCATGCAAATCTTTATTTCCAAAGAGATTTGATATCAAACCGATTTTCACCCAAAACGAGTTAATGAGTAGTAATACTTCTCTATAATGTTAGTTAGCTTACACGGAAATGTTACATGTGTTATTGTTAGAATGAGCAATTATACCGATTTGAACTAAATATTTTCATTTTCTGTTTCGTCGTTCTGAACATTACGAAGAACAATATCACTACTTACAACTGGTATGACGCCCAGGTCGTTTGCGAACTCATACCTAAATGGGCAATCTACAGTAGTCTAACTATGACCTGAAAAGGTCAACCCGTAGTATATGCTTGCGCGCAAAAACTCGTTCGCAGCACCGCGTTATTGGACACGGGGATGGCT